GCTTCTCCTTTAGATGTACCGAACACGTTGGCTGTCACCTGGTACATGGTCGGATAGGCACGGCCCATCCAGTCGGCATCGACGCACGGCACGTTTTTCTGCGCAGCGACACCAAGATTGACCACGCCATTGCCACCCCCGATCTCTGCTGCCATGAATGCCGAAACAGGACGGCTGCCAGTGGCCCTCATCAGCTCCTCATGAGCCTGGAGGCACTCGTTGTTTTCCAGCCGCTCCATGCTGACCTCCGGGCTGCCGATGCAGGCGGTCCAGCCGACCAAGGCGTCATCCGCGAGTTGAGACGCCGAAACTACTCTGATGGAGCCGGGAGATACCTTGAGGATGGCCTGCGCCTTGAGGCACTCCTGGTATGGATCTCCTCCACCGCCACAGCCGAGTACCTTGCACCCTGCAGCGATGTACTCCAGGTCAGTGGAGGAAACGATCCATTGACGGTCTTTGACGAGTGGGCGGTATGAGCTTGGATCAACCCGCGTAGAACTTTCGACATCATCATCAACTGCGCCAGGATTGTTCCCAACCGCTTGGCCGTTCTCTTGGATATCGGAAATTTCGGAGAGAATCTCATCGGCTATCTCATCATCTGTGTTCGAAGCCACCACAGTGTCCAACTCTCCAATCGCTCGCGTAACAATACGGGCTTTAGAGTCTGCATACTGGATAGGTAGGATGCTGACTTCTGCGACTTCCACCGTCCCTTCTTGTGCCCCTTGCACGACGACCTTCTCAATGGCCAGGGCACTGACCCTCTCTTGAGCTTGTTTCACTGTTTGATTCGAGGTGTCGACAACGGTGTCGACAACTGCAGAGACTCGGGAGATTGCTGCCCCGACGGCATTCGCGACCTCGCCCCCCTTCACGGTCCGTATCGCTCGCACACCACTGAAAGACTGACTAGCATCTATAATAAGGGAACCACCGCCGACTATTAGAACGTCGACGGGGCCCCTTTGAATTTTGGTCCTGTCGATGAGCTCTTCCAGCATTTGCCGAGCCGTATCCCTGGCTCTTCGAATAACCTCCTCACTGACATCAGATAGCCGAGCTGGGTCGCCCCCGACACTTGCAAACGGATTGATCTCTCTGTCAGCCGCTACTGCCACGTCCGAGCTAGTGAGAGTCTCGCCGCCGAACAATCGAGCCTTGGATAGCAAGTCAAGGGCGACGCTGTCTGGTCCAATGGTGACATCTCCGCCGTCCGTCACCCGAACGACACTCCCCCCACCTAAGCCAATGCTCTCGACCGCGGGAAGGGCGAAATTCGTGCGCACCCCGCCGACAAAGCTGGTAAGGGAGCTCATCATGGGGAGGCCGTTGGCGAGCAGGAGACCGCTGTCCGACGTGGTCCCGCCGATATCGACGACGACCAGCGCATCCTCCCGCTTCACGCCCGCGCCGCCTTCCTTTTGCATCGCGGCTCGCCAGAGGAACTCGCCTCCGCGGATGGAGTTTGTCGGTCCGGAGTTGAAGGTCCGGATCGGCAGGTCGATGGCTTCGATCGCTCTTAGGACACTGCCGTCATTCTGGGTGAGGTACAGAGTACACGGCTCATTCTTGAAGATTTCTTTCACGGCTTTTTGGAAGCCGCGGATTGTCCTTTCTGCAAGAGGCCGTAGCGTAGCGTTCAGGATTGCGGCGTTCTCTCGGCTGAGGAAGCCAAGCTGGGAGATTTCATGTGACATTGTGATGCGTATTTTCGAATGATGGCTCCCTGCCTGCTTCAGAATACCCAGCAGGATCTTCTTGGCCTGGATTTCCTGGGCGGCATTCATAGGCGCATACATCCCCGAGAGGACAATATTAGAGGACTGTGCCTCGGCCAGTTGCTTAGCAATATCTCTGATCTCAGATTCGTCCGGGGGACTGATTTCCTCTCCGGATATCTGATAACCTCCATGACAGAAGAATGACCGAGATTCGATCTTGGCTCTCAGATCAGGAGGGAAGTCAACGAACGGAGGCAAGTCGCGCCCGAACCCTTGCTTGGGCCCTCCGCACAGCCTCATAACGCTCACGGGCTGGAGCGCGGCTGAGCTCTGTATCACAGCGTTGAGGAAGTGCGTTGTCCCGATGATGACGCAGGCAATGGAGGATGGGTGGGCGCCGTACGAATCTATCACTGCATGCACGGCGTTGGTGATGCCGGTGGTGATATCGGCAGTGGTGGGTGCTTTGTGGGATGCTAGGATTGACACGGGGTCAAGAGATATTAGAACAGCATCAGTGTTGGTTCCTTATGACGAGTGTTAGCTGCTGGTTCCCATACGTGTGTTTCGTTTTATCGATCTCACCTCCGACGTCGACTCCAATGCGGTACTTTGCTCGCTGCTTAGTTATTTTGGATGGAGACATGATTGGCCTCTTTGTTATCTAAAATTAACAGAAAAAATTTAACTGCAACAAGTATCAAGCCAACGACAGTATGAAAAAAAACCCGGGTTGATGTGACCCCTGAGTATAGAGCATGAGATCTGACCGGGTAGTATGTTATATGTCCTGCTCACAATTTAGTCCAAGGCCCTCCACACATAATGCATAACTGCCTATGTTAGTGTCTGTTAATAGAGACGGCCAGCTTCGAGACAGCAGCCAAAGGTTCCACCAGTCCTCGGCGTGCTGCTCAGTCGTTTGGCGGTTTAATAGCCCGAAGCTACGCCAATAGGCCGATCTCAGTTGGCTAAACCAATTGCGGCGACTGTCATTGATAACCATCGGCGTATCTCAAAGGTTATGCCCTGGCCCATGACGGTGGATCCTGCTGGTCATTTATTACTCGGCGAGGCGTGGTCAGTTGGCTTAGTTATAGCCTCCAATGCAACAAGGATTAAGATAGGTATACAACTCGCTCGGCCATGATGTAGGCCTACGCCTCGCTTGGCCCTCATGGTGACACTATGCGACATTGAACCTTGATTCTCATGATACGCTGATGACATAGTAATACTACAGAGATAATCTTGGCGATACAACCAGACTTGCGATACGCCGACGAGCAATCAGCGATAAGATTGACGTTTTACAGCATTATTTGCATGATTGTGTGGCATGTGATCAATTGCAAGAGCCGGCCGCGACCGTCTTACAGCTTCGTGTCCGATTAGAATTCAGGCGGATTCCCTTACTATAATAGCGCCCGACGCAGAAAGGCCGATTGGTGATATCAATTCTAGACGGTACTACCTAAATCAAAGTAATCATCGATTTTCACCATCTGCGCAATCCCTATCTCTGCCTACTGTGTCAACGCCCTACTGAATTTTGAGCACGATGAGTTCCGAGAGCCAGCAGCCCCTTAGCATCCCTGTCATTGACTTTTCGCCTTTGCGGAATCCCAACTGCTCGCGTCAAGATTTCGCCAAGACTGGTGATGAAATCTACAAGGCCTTCAAAGACATCGGTTTCGCCTACATCAAGAACCACGTGGTACCCCAGGAAGTAGTGGATGAGGCCTTCTCATGGGTATGTCTCTCCGCCCTGCAGCTTCGCGATATACAAATTGCTAAAATTATCACACTAGAGTAAAAAGTTCTTTGCTCTCCCCCAGAGCGAGAAGGACAAGGTTCCTCACCCCGCCGAGGGATGGTACCACCGAGGCTACTCTGGCATCGGTCGCGAGAAGGTGACCCAGATGGTCTTCGACGACGAGGGGATCGCCCTGGAGCGCAAGAAGCCCGACTTCAAGGAGTCGTATGAGATGGGCGTCGAAGACGAGCAGGCAAAGCTGCAGAACATCTGGCCCGGGAAAGAGGTGATCCCGGGCTTCCGGGAGTTCTTTATCCGCTTCTTCGACGAATGCTACGAGATGGAGCTCAAGATCCTCCGCGCCATCGCTATCGGCATGGGGCTGGACGACGACTTCTTCATCGACTATCACAGGAAGAGGAACAACCAGATCCGCCTCTTGCATTATCCCCCTGTCGAGGAGGAGCTGATGGCGACGGGCAAGGTCGACAGCATCGGCGCGCACACGGACTTTGGGACCATCACCCTCCTCTTCCAGGATGAGGTTGGCGGCCTCGAGGTCGAGGACATCCATCAAAAGGGCACGTTCATCCAAGCCCCTTACATCCCGGGCACCATCGTCGTCAACATTGGTGACTTCCTCATGCGATGGAGCAACGATGAGCTGCGCTCGACCCTGCACCACGTACGCGCTCCGCCTGCCGAGGAGACAGAGGGGGGAAAGCCTCGGATGACGCGGGAGAGGTATTCGATCCCGTATTTCGTCAGTGCGGATAATGAGAAGACGATTGACTGTGTTCCGGGTTGCTGGGGACCCGATCGGCCAAAGAAGTACGAGCCGGTCAATTGTATGGAGTATTTGGAGATGCGCCTGAATGCGACATATTAGAAGCCTTCAAATACCACAGATTTAGCAACTTGCCACGCGTGAAAATTTCGTGTACTTCACGTATGTATCATAGCAGAGTGTTGTAGCTTGGACGTTTTGATAGCTTGATTCAATGCACGAAAATGAAATAAACAATGGCCTCGAGCCCGTGAGTATGATCTATTCCGGAGAAAATGAAATATAATAAAGTGAGCAACAAATCAACACAACTGGTGATTCCTTTCCAGAGTCTAGATTCCAGGCTGGCGATTCTGCCAACAGAGTCCAGGGCTGAATACACCGAGCTTAGCAGTCACCAGCCAAGAAGCCATAGTCCCGCTGCTGAGGAAGCTTTTGCAGAAGCTAGCCGTCATCGGCTTTCTTTTCACAAGCTGTGCATTTAATCGCTGCCCGGCAAGAAAAGCTGAGTCACTGGTGGATATCACAGCATGCAATTTGGGGGGTAAAAGTGGGTGAGCGGAACACAAACGACGAAGGTGATTGATTGACGCTCTCAATGGTAACAGGTTCACTCCACACAGGCTAATTATTTATTTACTCGCCGATGAGACTTGAACGCAAGGCTATCTCAAAGCCTGCACAATCCTCAACCTGAGCATCTTAAGAAGCTATTGTCAATTAGGCAATCATGGCTAACAAAGAAACCATGAAAGCCGTCGTCTTTGATGGCCTGCGCAAAGTTTCCGTCCAGGATCGCCCAATTCCAAAGGGTTGGTAAAAATCCCTCCCCTCAACGTTCGCCACGAATTATAGCCAACCGAGAACTAAAATTGTTTCAAAGTGCGAAATCGTCACGAGATTGTCGTGAAGGTTACGGCAACCGCGCTGTGTGGCTCGTAGGTTCATCGCTTCCCAGCATTGAATTGCGTCCATTGGCTCACTGGTCTGCGTATGTACAAAGCGATCTTCATGTCTATCGTGGCTTAGAGCCTTCTCAGCCGGGATATGTGATGGGGCATGAGTTTACCGGCATCGTTGTCGAAGCAGGCGAGGATATCAAGACTATCCAACTTGGTGACCAGGTTGTTGTGCCATTCACTATTTCTTGGTAAGTGAGCCTGATCCCGACTCGTCTCGAATTTACGCTGACCAAAGTACACCCTTTCACTTAGCATGAAGTGCTTTTACTGCAACCACGGGTGGACCTCACGATGTGAATCCTCTCTTCTTCTTGGAAGCCCCAATCTGGACGGAGCTCAGGCGGAATACGTCCTTGTGCCACATGCCGACGGCACGGCGATAAAAGCCCCAAGTGGCGTCCCCAAGGAGACGCTCGTCCTCATGGCCGACATCTTCCCGACTGGCTTCTTCGGTGCAAAGAATGCGTTCAAACTGATGGACCAGATCGACCCCAAGGAGGCGACGGTCGTGGTCATGGGTTGCGGGCCCGTCGGTCTCTGCGCCATCATTTGTGCCCTTGAATACAATCCCAAGCAGATTATTGCCATTGATGGCGTTGACAGCCGTTTAGAAATCGCCAAATCTCTTGGCGCCATACCTCTGAACTATACGAAGGAAGGCATCAACTTGTCACAATTCGTTTTGGAAGCAACCGAGGGCAGAGGTGCAGACGCAGTTATTGAGGTTGTGGGTGCGAAGCAAGCTCTCAGGACAGCATACGATATCATTCGGCCATGGGGGGTAATTAGCAGCATTGGAGTTCATAACTCAGAGGTAGGCAATCAAAACTCCCGCCGGTCGCCATTACGGCATACTAACACTCTTTCAAAAAGGTTCCTTGGACTGCGACGGAAGCATATGAGTGAGTAGCAAATGCAACATCAGTTCCACGATTGCTACCTTTACTAACAACGCGGGACTTAGCAAAAACTTGAGAGTGCAAATGGGCAGATGCCCTGTCCGTGCAGTGTTCCCCGAAGCTCTCGAGGTCTTGGCCAAGAATCACCAGAAGCTCAGGTATGTGATCTTTCAATGAACAGCGAGAAGGTACTGGATGAAGAAATGGATTGAAATACGCTGACACCAATGGTCAATGCAACTAGCTTCATGTTTGACAAGCTTATGCCTTTAACCCAGGCTGTTGAAGCATATGACCTCTTCGACAAGATGCAGGTCCAAAAGGTTATTTTCAAACCAAATGAGTGACGGACCTTGTGCAATCTAGTCACCTAGATGTCATCATAGAACATTCGATCAATAAAATAAATATTTGAAAATAAGTTTACCGCCATAATTATCCAGTATTTTCCTTCAGTCTCTGATTTAGGGGGAATAATGTTTCAACACCGAAAGTCTGATGTAAGGCCCCGAGTATTAGAAGGATATTCGGACGCCACGAGCCCGACATGAGTGTCTATTGTGAAAATGAATGAGCAATGGATAACTGGTATCTCAATCACTTGCTATGTTGCTTGTGACAAATGTAAGAAATAGACGAAAAGGTAATTTGGCACCGGAAATTTGAAGTAGTACGAAGTTAATTTAGAGGTAATGCTTCAGTTCTGTTCGATTTCTTCAGGGCAAAGAGATAGCTCTTTGATAAAGTAGTGTGTAGTAAACAGCTGAAGCTGAAACCTAGCTCGCACTTTGGTCTATAAAGAACATCGAAATCAAGATCATTCATAAGATCTAGCCCTACCTATAAAAGCCATGAGTAGCTACTTTCCTAAAGGTTGCCTTTTGTAGAAGTCTCGTGAGTAGTCAGATGGACAGTCTACTCATCATCTCCAAAGAATACCTTAATAGGCATCCAGTCATCCTGTACTACTTTGACACGAGTCGGGATCGCATCAATCTCAGCCATTTCAGCATCGGAAAGATCCCAACCATCGAGGTCAGAATTGGAGCTGATTCGTGTAGGATTCACGCTCTTTGGAATAACGCTTGTACCTCTCTGAAGGCCCCATTTCAACCTTGGATCATTTGTTAGCCTCTGACTTATGGCGGGAATTATTTCTCACTTACAAGATCTGAGCCGATGCTTTTCCCTTCGCCTTGGCAATCATCTCGACGACCAAATTATCAGACAAGTTGGTGTGTTTGTTGATAGGTGAGCTTGAATTTCCACCGAGGCATGAGTATGCTGTACAGTGAATCCCTTTGGACTTGCAATAGTCCAAGAGCTTTGGTCTAGCAGGGTAGTCTGGCTTAGTAAATGGAAGGAGGGGGGAGAGGGTGCCAAGACATTCTCACGATGGGTTATATGGGTGCAGCTGAAAAACAGGGTTAAACAAGGCACATTCAAACGATATGGGGGATCTCTTGAAGAAGACTGTCTTACCTCGAGTTGATTGACGGCAGGCACAACCTTGCATGTCGGGTCGCTTAGAAGCTTCTCAAGGTGTCTGATCTGGAAATTCGACACCCCAATATTCTTGACCTTGCCACTCCCCAGCATCTTTTGCATCTCTTTCCTGGCAGCCAAGTTAGAACGTGGTCAAACTTCAGCTCGCACTGCCAATCTTACCATGTTTTGACGTAATCCCAGTCCGGCAAATGCTTCGAACTATCATTGGGATCAGTGGAGCAAGGAAAGTGAATCAGGAACAGGTCTATGTAGTCAAGGCCAAGATCTTTCAGGGAGGTTTCAAGACCTTCGAGAGCACGGTGGTGCCAGGGGTTGTCCAGCTTTGTCGTTACCCAGATGTCTTCCCGGGGGACTCCGGACATTCGAATCCCCTCCCCTACTTCCTTCTCGTTCTGGTAATTCAATGCCGTATCGATGTGGCGATAGCCATGCTGGAGGGCGTAGCTGACGGCATCTCGAGTCAAGCTATCAGCCGACTGCCAGGTGCCAAGCCCAACAGCGGGAATCAAATTTCCATTGTTGAGCTTGAAAGTTGAGGTGGACGGATTGTGAGAAGCCATCTTTCGGTTACCCCTGGCGGAAATGCTTGTACGATCTTAGGTGTAGTGATGGCTGGGATAGATGCTGATGCAGTTGTACCACGAGATAAGGGTTCCTATGAAGGCCCAGTGGTTTTAACCATTAAATGAGGATCTATTAGATCGGCGTACTGGTTGATAACGATGACGATGGGAACAAGCATTATTAGCCAAGATGCGACACAATCTAGATCTCACGACACCTTCCCCGGACTTAGTTAGCCATGACTCGTCTGTCCTACCAGAAAGAAAGATTGGCTTTCACTATCGCCCCAGCCCCGCGTCATGGGGCCCCACAGATTGTCTTCCCTTGATGATCGGCCTAGATTTGAAGTTTGATCGGGCTACGCACTCAGAGACACAAAGACCCACAGCACGTCTCGGTTCTCCAGTCTCGCTCCGACAGAATTCCAGACAACGGCTTGCATATGAACACAGTACCTTCCCGTCCAATCTCGTGAGGATTAAAGACAAGCAGCAGGTTCCGACTGAGTAGCGTCTCCATCAGGCGGACTCTGCAGTCAGCATCCTTTGTCTCCATCCATCAGATCTCATATGCATGCACGAATTACTTGAGAAAATCCACAGCAGTCTCCACATCGCCATTCCGGTCCCGTCAGCGACTTGCCATGCCGTTCAATTGGGCAACCGCAAAGCGCAAGCTTGAGTGGTATGTCTACTCTCAGGTCAATTGGACCTAGAACGCCTTGTTGATCTTGATGTTGCAAATAGCCCTACGGACGAGGATGCAAACTATCGCAACACTCAGTGGTGCAATCGAGATCTCATCCCCATCCCTAAAGATCGCCAGACCTATGGTCAATGGTCTTATGTTGGTGGGTTCTACTCTCTCTCGTACCTCCAAAGACAAGCTCTAACTTGGATATTCTAGGTTACTGGACTGTTTCGGGGTCATGTGTCTCAGCTTGGTCAACGGGAAGCACACTCTTGGAGTTTGGGCTTAACCCACAACAAGCCATCGGTGTCGTCGTACGTTTGAACCCGAACTCTCTTGAGCACATTGTCTCAAAAATACTTACATTTTTTTTTTTCAATTTGTTAGATCGTAGGTGCTGTGATAACCGGTATTATTGCTGTTGCTTGTGGATGGATGGGAGCTCATCACCACATCGGCTTTACTGTTTCAAGCCGTTTCTCCTGGGGCATGAGAGGCTCGTACTGTGAGTGTTTGTTTATGTCGACAAGATCGCGTTCGCTATTAATCAAACATGCCAGTTCCTGTCATTCTCCGAGTTTTCGTTTCATGTATCTGGTTCGGAATCCAAGCATTCTGGGGTGGACAGGCTACCCGCGTACTGATTGGCGCCATCATTCCAGGTAGGCAAACCCCCTAGCCCCCAACTGTTGCAGATTGGGGATCTTATCTTACTGACTTTTTATTCAAAGGCTTGGCTCACATGAAGAACTACTTTGCTGAAAGCTCTCATCTGGAGACGAAAGACTTCATCGGACTCGTCATCTGGATGTGCGGATTTATCCCTTGCATTCTCATCAAACCCGAAAAGCTTCAACTCCCATTCGTGGTGTGTTTCATTCTGTTCTGCGGAACTTGCGTCGGATTGCTGTCATGGTAGGTAGCGTCATTGTGCATGAAATCAGCACGTGCATAGCTGATATCTTCTCCAGGAGCGTATCTCAGGCCCATGGAGTTGGTTCCACCTTCCACCAGCCCGCCTCGACGCCCAACGTTGGGTGGGCTTTTGCGTTTGGCATCACCTCTATCCTCGGCTCATGGGGCGCAGGAACTCTCGGACAATCCGACTGGACTCGTTATGCCAAGACGAAGCACGCCCCCATCATGTCGCAGCTCATCGCATCTCCCATGACTATTAGCGTAACAGCAATCTTTGGAATTATCGTCACCAGCGCTTCGCGGGATATACTTAGTGGTAAAATTGTCTGGAGCCCAATTGCTCTCCTCGCGGAAATTCAGGATCACTACGATTCTAGCTCTGGAGTGAGAGCCGCTGTCTTCTTTGCGAGTCTTGGTTTGGTGGCTTCGCAGATGTCGGTGAGTTAGTCCCGTCCCTGTTTCAAATACGAAAGGCTAAGACTGTGCATAAATTTCAGTTGTGCTGAACTCTGTCTCTTGTGGAATGGACATGGCCGGATTGTGGCCGAAGTACATCAATATCCGCCGTGGTGGTTACATTATGGCCATGATTGGAATTGCGGTTCAGTATGTTGCATCAAATTACTGTTATCAATGAATATTCTGACCGTTTCATTTAGGCCCTGGCAACTCCTGACAACAGGAACCAAGTTCCTCCAAGTCTTGAGTGGATTTGGTGTTTTCATGGCGCCGGCGACGTAAGTCCTTCTTGAACTTCAACTATAATTGCTTCAATTGAACAAGTACTGACATTGCTTCAGTGGAATTATGCTCGCAGACTATCTCGTAATCCGACGACAGAAACTTAAGCTGGACGACCTCTACGTCGGGGATTCTTCATCAATCTATTGGTTCCAAAAAGGCGTCAACTGGCGTGCGTTTGCTGTGTTCATCCTCGGGATGTGGCCATTCCTTCGTAAGTGAATAATGCAAGGTCTCTCCACAAGATTATCTGCTAACATACGTACAGCGGGTCTAGTCGCCACGGTAAATGCTTACGAGGGAGGGCAATACGAGAATTGGAAGAGACTCTACAACCTTACATTTGTCGTTGGTATGATATGGAGCTTTCTCTTGTTCTGGGGGATGAGTGTGCTTTTTCCAATTCCGGGACTGGGTCAGGACAGTCCGTTCACCGGCGATGATATCATCCTGGGAGTTGATCAGACTGATACAGTGAGTGAGATCAACGCAGAAAGAGAGAAGGTGAACGCTGAGGTCTCGACCGCTCAGGAGTTCAAGTAAACCTGCGTTTTGGATGGCAATTACTTAACACCAGAAACTCTCAACATGCTCTTCAACTTTGCTCTTTATACGCTGAGATTTGGTAGCCGTCTAACCTAGAGCTATTTGAGTTTGGACACGGAGCCTAACCCATGTTTTTGGTTATGGATGGTATCATTTTTAATTGCAATTTAAAATTCTCTGATCCCGGAATACAAATATATAGACCTGAAACCTCTTGCATGGTTTCTTCAGAGATTTCGACCTTCTTCTCAATGAAAAGCCTCCCGAGGACATGAAAAATGAATATATATGTCGATACAACGGTCGGTACGCTGACTAGCGCCGTGCACATGCAATCCCGGACCAGGCATCCCTTCAAGTCGAGACGCTCTATGGACATGTGAGCCAAGGCGACTATGACGAACTTTCCTCTAATAGAAACTATAGTGGCGAAAATCTGGGAGAATATCACTCAGCCTGTGAGTTTTAGCATGTCTTTGTGGCCGGCTGAAAGGATATCTCCCCCCCCCGGTTAGGAAGGTCGCCCGAGCGGTCGCGAGCTCTCAACTGACGAAAAGGAGGCGAGAAATGACATCACCTATCTCACCTACGAGAGAGGGCCTGTGACAATATCCATTGCTGCATTCTCCAGGCCTCTTGATGCTATTTCATTGTAGCTCGGTCTCGGATCCCCAGTTGCTAAATTCTATCGAAAGATTTGAATGGAGCAGGGCTGAGTTCATCCCCAACTACTTGCGTGGGGCCTGAATATACCGCCCCATACATAGTGACGTGCCGAGGAGGCCCAAAACCCTGCCGAACGTCGCGGGTTGAGCCGCTTCTACCTTGCCGTAGCACTCAGTTAGACATGGACCAGAGTCCGCTTCACAGGAGTTAGCGACAGCACCATGATATCTAAGACCGCTTGTAAACAGACGTGCTTTAATAATTGGAAATAGCATGCATTCACATTCAAATACAGTGGGTTCATTCACGCGCAGATTTTAGCTTTATTCAACTTCGGCCGAGATATCCTTAGGCGTGTGCCTGAAGATGAACTTGATGCCAATGCTAGAAAACACTGCAACTTCGGTATATTAGCTTTTGACGCAATCTTGTTTCTTTCAATTCATTGACCCCTCATTTTTTAAGTCCAGAAAGCTCTGGCAGATCCAAAGCAGCTGAAGACCTCGATTGTGAATACGCCGTACGTTACATCCCATATATCCTAACAGCAGAGCCTTTCCTCTATCCAGGAGAGCTAACTAAATACTTGACAGCTTTGTTATCTAACACGAAACGCATAATTATACTAGCGCCAGATATCCAAGAGATGCTGAACTCTTCAGTCAGAACATGCGGCATTGGCACAGAGCTTACAGTAATAGAATGATTATCAACGTGGAGACTTTGACCTGGATACGTGTTTTCAAGAACGTGTTTCCAAGAACGTTTTTCCAAGAACGTGTTTCTAAGAACGTTTTTCTAAGAACGTGTTTCCAAGAACGTGTTTCTAAGAACGTTTTTCCAAGAACGTGTTTCCAAGAACGTTTTTCAAGACTCTCTCTATTATTTGCCCATATTTCCGATACTAAAGAGTTTATTGTACTTCATGGTTCAAATCCTTTTGTTAGCTGTAGTAAAATTGTAAACCTCCTAACGCAGCAAGTAACTCTACGCCATCTCAAGGGTTCATAGAACCGCCTCTCCCCCATTTGTTACTCTTGATTCCTTCGGTAATGTGAATAGAATTGATGGGAAGAGTATGATGCAAGAAACACCGCGTTTGTTTGGCTTCGAGGCTCATTTGAGTAGCTCGTTACTTGGGTCTGCCAAATAGGGAGATCGAGGCATTCTAAAACAAAATTTATCCCGTCAGCTACACGAGTTGGTTTAGATAAGTTGAGAAGGCGAGACTAACTGGTCTGTGACCTAGATCTTCGAATGCGGCAACCATAGACCCAAGCAGCCATTAGAGCGGGAGGAATAGCGATTATAACACCAAATATTCCAATTATAGCTTCCTGGGAAAGTTTCATTGCATGTTCCGTCTGTGGGGTGATAAATATTGAACAAAGTTAGGAGCGCGAATGAGTGAAGCGTTCCTACAATACAAATTCACAAATTGTATATTATATATTCCGGTACTCCTCGATTTCCTGATTTTGGTACTTTTAGAAGATGCAAATATACGTCAGCCTAGACTGGCTCAGATTTTTTCGTTTGCTGACTGCATTACACACCGGATGTAATGCTGATTGGCTTGTGCCGTCAGGTTACATTACGTACTTTTGTTAATACGTACTTTTGTTCTATGCCAGCTGACTGGCTCAGCCCATCAATCAATTTTGTGCTTTTAGTAGCTCGGAAATTTAAAAACACTGTCATTTCAATCACTCCTCATCTCTCTTTCATCCGCGTCTGCAAGCCGCGACTTCATTTTCCATCATACTTTCCTGTTTCTGCTAATCATGGATACCTCTAAACCTTCTCTTACTACAAGACGTGGCCGGCCGAGCAGAGCTAATTTTGAAGAGCATCGTGCCCTTATTACCGAGCTATGGACTGAGAAAGACTGGAAACTCAAGGACATTGTGCGGTATATGAAAACGCAGCACGACTTCGTGGCAAGGTAGGACCCTTTCTCAGCAAATGAGTGGATGGAATACCTCAGCTGAAAATGAAACCCGCAGCGAGAAAATGTACAAAGACAGGCTGTCCTCGTGGAACCTCACCAGAAACATTCGAAGGGATGAGATGCGGCATATTGCGAGGATCAAACTGAAGCGTGATAAGTCGGGTCTAAAAACTAGATTTTCTATCCGAGGCCGCCATGTCAAAATGTCAAAAATTGATCGATGGATCAAAAGAGAACGAGCTACTCTTGGAGATGAGGTCTTCAACTCCGACCTTACAGAATCGGATGGTGAGTTTGCGGCCTCGCCTTCAAGTTAACGCCTGCGGGCCTAATCGGTTTTTAGACTGCGCCCATCATGATGTTGAATACGAGACCGACACCGAGCTTGATGAGGGCGACGAAACCCATCGCGCCATCGACGATGTTCATTACCCGACCGTACCTATGGAGCCATTGTCTTCTTGGCCACCGCGCCCATGTGCATGCCGAGTGCCAAAATTCAAATTCACTGAATACTTACACGGGTATGTAGTTGCTTTATCTCAAAAGATCCGTTAGGTCACTAAACCTATTTGTATAGCGGCGGCCGGTCTGATCATTTTGTCAACGGAGATTCTACAGATTGTTGCCCTACCTGTGACGAAACTTGTGAATCTCCAACTACCTTCGAAGTTTCTGTGGCAGGAGGCAAGCAAAAGATCAAGATTTTAAGCCCTACTCTCACTTCAGAGCTTGAGACTTGTTTACCAGCGACTCTCCGACCAGTGGACGGATGCCATTTACATCTTGCTGGAGCAGACATTGCAACTTATCGCCAAATCTTTACCGTTCACCTTAACGTTCTACGGTCTGCTACGTGGCGGGATCCTCTGAAAACCAAATCATTCAATGAGATGGATCTTTTCATACATAAATTCCTCAACGATGCAAAGTTCTTCCCACACTATGATTGCGGCGATGATTTCCTCACGGAAGAGATAGAAACACTCAAGGATGCAGAGTTCGTCCCACGCTATGATTGCAGCGATGACTTTCTCGCGAAAGAGATAGAAAACCTCAATCACGCGTTTCTGGCGACTGATAAAAGCGAGCCCCCGGAATCTCCATATAAGGCATACTTTGAGGAGCAAACCGAAAATACTTGGGACGAAGTATTCCATTCTGATTCGTCTTTAGACGATCAATGCCACACACATCTGAGCCACGGCCACAACGAATCAGGAGTAACTGAAATTGTCTCCACGGTCAGTGAACCAGGCATCTTATCCATGGTAACAGATGCATTGACGAATGGTGATATGCCTTTCAGTAAGGATGATGACATCCCCATAGATACTCATGACTCCAATGAGCCTGCATCGCCGCTGGGCAGTGAATTGGCCAAAGTATCCTTCGAAAAACTTCAGGAAGCAATGAGGAATAGCAGTATGCATCTATTTGAGCAGCCCCTAGAAAGTGGAGCCCGCAAAAACAATCATTCTACGAAAGGCGATTCTCCACTGGCCATCGCTTTACCCTATGGGCATGAGGAGATCTTTCAGATGGATCATGGGGCTACGGCTAATCCAATGTTTGGTCAAGGTGGCCTCACAAGCAGACGCCCGCGAGTCTTCTCTAAATCGTGTGTTAATGCCCTGAACAAACCGGTTGAGGATATAACAGAAGAATGCTCCTGGCGGTATGAGTATGCGCCGGAAGCAATGGAAGAGATAACCAACGACATGAACATTTCATCTCAACAAGGGGGTTCGGAGCGACTTCGGACTTTCCGATTAAACTTCATCATTGAATACCGAAGAATGATCAAAGCCTCGAGAAGATCGACTACAAATTTTAAGAGGGTGTTTCGGAGATTACCCAATTACAAAAACGCCTGGCATCGTGGAATCGAATTCTTTCGAGGCTTGTCCAATCTCGAACTTGAGCCATCCCTTGAAAGTACTCTATCATTGATGTGCATCGCACGAGCAATCGTAGAGTCTATCTGTGACGATCATGCTCACATGCGAGATGAATTTGTACATGATTTATCGCGGTGGGAACACAGCTTTTCCAACCATGCTGATCTGCTAAGCTACCAAGAGGCAGTGAAGCTAATCTGGAATATATCATTGGAGGGTGGTTGGGAGCCAAACAACCCAGAATCTTTCAGGCAGTTCATGTTGAATCTCAGGGATAGGGCGGCAAACCTGATTCTCCTTGCCAATGAGGACTTTGGGATCGTCGGTTCATGTTCGAGCCCAGTTCAGGGATGTCAGAACAACGATTTCCGAAGCGCAAACGCATTCAGCCCGGAGCGCCTTGACTACATTCTTGCTCCTCATATTGCCGAAATCAACCAAAGGTCGAGATATCATCCCAAGTTCAAGCCAGGTATAGTGAACTTAGTGACAAGTGCTATATTTGCTCTTGTCGTGTACTTTTTCGCAGGTATGTGGGATCATGCATACTAATTTGACTTGAACGGCCCGTGCTAATCAAAGATTGGTTATAGTTTTCCCATGTTCCAAGATAGCAACACCAGTTGTGTCCCCGGGCGTAAGTGGAGAGGTGCCCTCGTTTCTAAGCTCATCTGCAGACCCGATGCTTATTTCGAGACCTTCAAGTCCATTTCAAGACATTTTCTAAGCCATTTCTTCTATGTCTTTAAACGTCGGGAAATCACCTAACTCGCTTGCTGCAGTGTCTAAGCAAGTAGGGCGAGCGTTGACGTGATTGAATCTACTTCTCGGTGTCATATCCTTCACCGCCGCTCAAAGTGCAGGTCACAGAAAGGCAGGAGGATAAAACTGCATTACATATTCCTTCATCTCCAAAGACGATTTGGAGAAGATAGATTGGACATGTTGGTCGTGAATGGGTTTTGATGCAAGACATAAAGCACTGATGATCTCAATTCAACCGCCTAGTAGAAACACTTGCTAAGTTGCGTGGAAATTGTACTGATCGTGAACATGAGCCAATATTTAGAGTTTTATTCTCTGATAGTTCTTGAGGCTAGGAAATAAGAGGGAGAGAAATAGGTAAATAGAATTGTCACATGAGAATTTAGGATTTATCTACAGTCAAATTCATTACTTCTCGAGTCCAATCTGGCTTGCCTCAGTAGCCAACTCCGCGATCGAGAAAATTGATCTTCCACCCATCATTTCAAACACAGACACATCTGCGGCAAACTCCTTTCCAATCCAACCACGCAACTCAACCGCCACCAACGAATCGACCCCGTATGCGTGCAGCGGCTTATCGCAGTCAATATCTTCGGCTTGCATCGATAGCGCCTTGGAGAGCTTCTTCGCAAGCGCCTCTGACACGATCTGGGCTCTGTCCACCGCTGAACTAGACTGTCTAAACAAGGCGGCAAAGTTGGTGTCGTTGGAGCTAGAGTTGTCCGACATGCCTCGGGCCTGGCTGAAGAAGGCGTACATGGGGCGCTCCATCATGTCAACAATATCTAGCCCACGAGAAAGTAAGTCGCGGGGAGTAACGATGCCCATAGATACCTGGCTTCTTTCTGGCGATGGGAACTCGAGCGCCGGGTCGCATGCGATCTCGAGGAAAGTCAACAACTCCTTCTCCTCGACTAGGACCAAATTTGTCGCGCTAGCAAATGTCTTCTTCAAGTTGTCTGTTTCCGCAATAACACCAATTCCTTTCATGGCGCCTACGTCAATGGAGAGAGCGCGTTGGCCTTGGTTAATGCGGTAGCGGGCCAGTGCGTCCTGGAACGTGCAACCGGTGGCATAGTTGGCTTGGCCACCATTTCCAATGATGCCAGATACAGACGAAAGAAGAATGAAGAAATCTAGGTTTCGTGGGAGAAGAGTGTGCAGATTCCATGATGTCTGAACTTTCGAGCGGACGGTTCGCTCCCATTGATCATGTGTCATGTTTTCAAAGATCGAGTCCTGAGAGATATTAGCAACTTCATTAAATAGAGAGACAAAGTCTAATGTCATACGTTCAAAACCATGGCAGCATTGATGCAGCCTCTGATCGGTGGCATTGTCTTTTCACAATCGTCCAAAACTTGCGAAAGCGACTCCTGCGAAGCCACGTCACATTTAGGCGTGATTATGTTGACACCTCGTCCGGTTAAATCATCGACAAGCTCCAAGGCCGCACCTGATGCGGCGCCTGATCTAGATGGAACAACTAGATTTCTGGCGCCTCGATCAACCATCCACCGCAACATGGATCGGCCGATACCACCAAGACCGCCAGAAACGAGATAAGTTGCATTGGCATCAAAGGTCCAAGTTCGACGGTGAATTATTCGCTTCTACAAATTATATTGTTAGCAAGCGGTAGCTTTAGGAACAGCTGCATGTTACTTACCTCAACAACAGCAGTGGGCTCGATACTGATCACGACTCGGCCGGCATTGCGTCCGCCGTTGATATGTGAGAATGCCTCCTTGATCGACGCCAATCCAAAACTGCTGAGAGGTTTTGGGCTATAAATGGCCCCGTAGCTAACCAGCTTCATTGCCTTGGTCAATAGGCTCTTGCTAGTTTCCTTCCGATGACGGTATACATGCCGAAGATCAATGGAAGTAAATGACTTGTTTCCAGCGAAAGCGCCCATCGGTAAAGATGAATTGGCACCGATGTCCTCCTTTCCAATTTCGAGGAAGCGTCCATAGGGGGCAAGACATTCCCAAGACGCCCTAAGGTCTTCACCAACAAGGGAGTTGAGAACAACATCGACTCCGTAGTTGTTGGTAAGACACATGATTCCCTTAGCAAAGGTGTTATTTCTGCTATAGAAAATGTGGTCCGTAGGAATACCATATGTCTCCTGAAGAAGTCTCTTCTTGTCCTCGTGGCCAACCGTTACGAAGATCTCAGCACCGATCATCTTCGCGACTTGGATGGCCAACTGACCAGTAGCTCCAGAGGCAGAGTGGATTAGCACTTTCTCGCCCTTTTCCAACCTCCCAACCTCAATAAGGGAGTATAGAACCGCGAGAGCGGGGCTAAGCAATGCGGCAGCATCATTGAAGGATATGTGGTCCGCTAACTTAATCACTCTGTGCTCCTCAGCGCGGGAATATGCTTTCATAGATCCTTCAGTGTACATGCAAACGCGGTCTCCCACTGTGATAGAAGTGCATTCGGGACCGACTCTTGTAACAACACCAGAGCAGTCTGAACCGAGGTACCCTCCGTCCGTTTTTCCTAGCGCGTAAGCGACATCTTGGAAGCCAACTCCCCATGACTTGGCCTCAATTTCAACGTCGTGAGGACCTAGATCTTCGTAGTACCACATATCCTCAACAAACTGAAGCGACTCTAAAGAGCCTCGCCTTGCGATCTCAAGTGATAAGGGAGGTCCCGGGAGCCATGGCTCAGACTTGAGCTCCGCCCGGAGACTTGAGTTAAAATCTTTGTTCAAGTTAATCTCCTCAACCATGCGAGGGATCAGCACCTGTCCTTCACGGACGACATACTCATGCTCTGGGCTCAGCGATTCAATGGCAGATAGAAATATTTGCGAAATATCTTGCACAGTTCTGTTGATATCGCGTGCATCACCTTCCAGTGTTGCTGAAACAATGTGTTTGCTGGTGAACTCTGCCCGCAAGGTTCGCGTAAAACCATCTTTTAGGCCAGAGAATGGCTCCGACAAAGGATGAAGGCCTTCGGATGTATCAATTGATGAGACCCAAATCAAGCTTGTCGAGCTTTGTACCCATTTTAGAATGAGGCTGAGATTTGTAGCCGAAATATCATGAAGTAGCGCCTTCTTTCCTAGATCTGCAAGGAAGATGACACAATCAGACGGAGACAAGGTAGCTTGTGTCACTTGAGAAAGGTATAAAACCTTTGTCTGATATCCCCACGAGTCGAAGGGTCCATTGGCAGTGGCAAGAGCTATATTTGACTGGTACTCGTCATCACTGTTTATAACGAAGAAGATGTTTCTGCTCTTATTCGTAGGCATAACCATATTCGGGCTTGCTGTGGAGACGATAATGCTCGTCTTGTGGGCTCCATCGGCCTTGAAGTCTCTGATCACAAGATCGTTTCCTGAGAATCCCGCGCTGCGGAGAGCAGTGTCCCATTCAGGCTCCGTAATGGTCGGCCGCGAGGAACGAGTCTTCTCTTCGCTATCCCACCAACTAGAGGAAAGGCTGAAGACAAATTGCATCAAAAAATTATCTGACGCTGTGAACTCGTGCAAGATGATGTGGCCACCAGGCTTGAGTACCCGTTGAAGGCTTTCGAGGGTATTTGATAGATTCTTGGACGAGCGTAACGCGTTATCTGCGAAGACAAGGTCGAAGCTGCCTGCCTCAAACCCTTGGTTCGTGATTTCACTGTCAAGATCCAAAGGCTTGAAACTCAGGCGGTCTAGCTGGTCTGCAAACTGTTCTTGGGCAGCTTCAAACCTATCGGTAGTCGTATCTGTGCAGACATAATGGGAGAAAGAATTTCCTCCTGTCCTAGTCTCAATCTTTTCGAGAGCTTCGACTACTCGGCTTGTCAGTAGTCCTTGGCCTGCGCCAACTTCAAGAATTCTCTGAGCAGGGTTTTGATGGGCAGTGAGCTCAAGGAATGTAACGAGCTTGTGGCTGAACGTGTGATGCAGCTGCTCCTCCCAGAAATTCTTTGTAAGTTGAGCTGACCCGATGTATTCACTAGCATCAACTTCTCCCCTAACAATGGAAACCAAATGTAATGCAACCTCAACAAGAAGTGAGCAGGACGGCTTCTTGGCCCTCAGGTTCTCAAGCTCTGCTATCAGATCTTCTTCACTGACCACATCTTTGGTTCGTCCTGGGACTTGTTGTAGTTGGCTTTTAGCCCAATCAACATATTGTCTCATATGCCCAGGGACCAATGACCAGTCCGATCGAACGAGCTGATCAAGGTTGTGTTGCAAAACAGCTCTGAGCGTGGATTCCAGCTGCGAGGAGAACACAATCTCGTTTGTTTCATCCTCAAAATACTCATCCGCTTTGCAGTATCTCTGCAGCTGCTCTGGAACCAGGAGGGAGAGTTGTGGCTTCCAGTCAATGCTATGGAGAAGCTTACTACGGCTCTCATCAGCCGACTCGCCGCCAACGACAGCCGAGGTAATGAAGCTTTTTAAGTGAAAAAGAGGCGACCCATTCTCATCGTATAGAACAAGGCCAGACTCGTAACTACTGGCAGAACCATCAGCTTTATTCCTGGCCACCACTTGAATAAGCTTGTTCTGAGGCCGTTGCCATCCGCTGGCAGATACCCAAGTGTCGACCATCTTGTGAGGCACCATTGTTGGAAGTTCACACGTCATCCCTTTTGAAGGAGCAAGGGCACAAACTTGAAGAGCTGAATCAAGAACACCTGGATGGACGATGCCTTCAAATTGCTGATCTACGTCGATCTGAGCTGTACCCACATCGCCACCGTCGTAGAAAAACTTGTCTGAAAGTGCAAAAGCTGGGCCGTATTTTAAGCCAAGGTCAGTGAACCACTTGTAAAATTCTCGCTTGCTTACGGCCTTTGTACAGCTGGTCTTGGCCTGGAGGAGATCTTGTCTCAACGTATCCATGTAGGACTGGAATGCCCGCCCTTTATCCACCTCGTCGGGATCGAGGGCAAACTCAGGGTGGATGAGGGCTCTGAAGCACTCGCTCCAGTGATTATCGAGGCAGGCAAAGATTCGTACCTCCGCTCGGGTGGGAGACTTCTCGTACGACTCCTGAAGCGGATGGAGCTCAATAGTAACCTCAGTCTTCCCTTCTGTTCGGAGGATAATAGGCTTGCCGAAAGTGGCTTCTTTGACCATGAAGCTCGTTACTGTATGGTCCTTGAAAAATTGTCTGACTGCCTCCAGAGACATCATCAAGGTGCCAGCAGCAGGATACAGAATCGTCTCTCCGACCATGTGGTCGGCCAGCCACGGGTCGTGCTCAACGCTAAGCAGCTTTCGCCAACTAGGCTGCAGAGGATTCCAATCCGTTGCCCGCATACCTAGCAGACTTCTTGGGGCAGCACCACGAAGCCTCCAATCCCTGCTGAGGCGGGACTCATGCCAATACTTGAGGGAGTGGTCAAACGGGTACTCTGGCATATCAACCAAGAAAGGCGTGACGGTAGCTTTATTAAGATCCTGCCGATTGAGAGCAGAGATGGAAAGCGGGTAGCCAAAGGCGAAAAGACGACCAGCCATTCCGAGAACAGCCTTCATGGGTGGCTCGAATTTAGAGAGCACGGCACCATACCGGAAGCCCTTCTTTCCGATAACCTGGGAGAGCGAGTCGTCTGCAGGCCTTCGCAGTGCAGCAGCAGGGCCAATCTCGAGATAGTCTGATATCTTTGCCAGACCATCGATCTTTGGTGCTGCTGTAGCAATGTATTGAAGCGCATCGCAGAACTGGACTGGGGATACCAGGTTGTCGACCCAATACTGGGCATTGCACAATATCTGAGGGGTGACCTTGTGGCCTGTGACAGAAGAAATCATCAAGATCTGGCCATTTCTTGAAGAACCCATCTCCAGTGTGCCGATTGAGTCAATGTACTCAGCCGAGATCTGTTGCATTGCAGGAGAGTGATAGGCTATTCCCGTCTTGACCGTTCTAGCAAAGATCTTCTCTTCATCAAGGATCTTCTTGAGTGACTCAATGTCATTTTCGGGACCAGAAATGGTAACGTTGGAAGGGCTATTGATGCAGGCAACAGTGAGTGATTCTAATGAGTGCTTGGTCAAGTAGGCGGGTACTTCAAGCTCGGGCAGGTTGACAGACATCATTGCTCCCTTGACCGGCTGCGAGGAAGACATTAAAGCTGCAAGCCTACCTCTATGATAAGCGACTTTGCAGGCTGATTCAAGAGATAGGGCCCCGATTGTGTATGCCGCAGCGATCTCTCCGGATGAATGTCCCACCACGGCGTCAGGGGAAATGTTGAAGCTTCGGAGCAGCTCAATGAGTGCAATCTGTAGAGCCGTACACAAAGGCTGACTGAATCTCGCATTATTGATCCTCTCTGCACATCTCATTTCCTCTATAGCATAGTATTAGCTCGCCTTAAATTGGTAAAACTAGGGACTTAGAAAGAGGTTTACCAAGTAGAGTCCAATCAGCGCCCAACTCACGGAAGATTTGTGAGATCTTGGAAAGCGTAGAGGCGAAAACGGGGTACTCCAGGAGTCCCAGACCCATTCCAACATACTGAGCACCCTGGCCAGTGAAGATGAAAGCCAGTCGTACATCTCGGGATGCTCTTACTGGGGCAGAGAGTGCTGAATTAAGAGCTTCAGATTTGTCTTGGGCATCAGCTATTGCGTAGGAGCGCCATGGCATGACACTGCGTCGGTCAGCGAGTGTGAAAGCGAGTCGCTTTAGTAACTCTTTTGAGCCGACAATCTTAGATCCGTAATATTCAACGTGCTGCGGGAGCATACGCTTCAAAGAGGCTTCATTCTTTGCTGTCCACATGAGTAGTTGATAATCGGGACTGGATGAAGCCTGTCTATCATCTTCAGCGTGGCCATTTGTATGTCCGTTCAGGGTTCCGTTGGTATTGCCATTAGTAGCCCCATTAGTACCATTGACATAGCCATTAAGGTTTCCATTGGCATGGCCGTTAAGGTGGTTGGAATCTCCGTTAGTATGGCCATTGACATACCCATTTAGATGTCCATTCAATGGTTCAAGATGCTCTTCCAGGGCAGCTGCCGAGGACGGCCTATGATAGAGCCCATTCAACGAAAGAGATTCAAGAGTGTGATACGCATCATCAAGGATCATATGAGCGTTCGAGCCACCGAACCCAAACGAATTGAGAGAAATGCGACGCAATCCCGCATGCGGCCAGGGGATGCAGGTCTTTGGGATCTAGAGACTGTCAGATCAATAACTCATATCTTTTTTCTTAATCCATACCTCAAGATTGTAGAGCTTGGCGTTGATCTTGGGATTGAGCTTCTCAAACATCGCAACAGGGGGTATGATGCCTCGCTCTAAAACAGATATGCATTTTGCAATACCAGCGAGACCGCTTCCTGCTTCCAAATGTCCGACATTTGCCTTGATAGAGCCACTGAGAATTGTTTAAACGGTGAATACATTGAAGAGATCTGGAGCAAGTCTTACACATAGAGTGGCTCTTGTCGTGAGCGACTTGATTTGAACACCCGGCCAATCGATTTGACCTCGGTCGCATCTCCCACCTGAGTTCCAGTCCCTGGTTGAAAAGTTAATACCATACTGAAGAATCCTTATTCTCAAAGGTCAGTTACATACCATGTGCTTCTACGTAACGGGTAGACTCAAGTCCCAAGCCTGCATTAGCGTATACCATTTTGATCAGCGCCTCTTGCGCTTCAGCACTTGGCTGAGTTATACCCGGGGTATGACCATCCTGGTTTGTTCCCGAGCCACGGATAACGGCACGGATCATGTTGCCGTCCCTGACAGCGTCGGACAGTCTCTTGAGAACAAGAACAATGCAACCCTCCCCTCTACCATAGCCGCTCGCTCGCTCATCAAAGCTGTGGCACACACCGTCTGGGGCAAGGAAGCCCATGTTACAGAGGTGGACTGATAGCTCAGCGCTGAGGAGGAAGTTTGAGCCAGCCAATATGGCCTACTCTCAGAGTTAATGGGCGTTTTTCAGGAGCTGGTAGCATTGAACACTCACCATTGAGCTTTGGCCACTTCGAAGCGATTGACAGGCAATATCCACGGCAATGACGCTGGTAGAACATGCGGTATTGAGAACAATACTGGGACCTTTAAGATCCCAGAACCAACTTATTCGGTTGGCCAGGATAGAGGGACCAGTCCCAGTAGACACATTCAGCGGTGCGTCATCGGGATCCTTGCTAATCATCCGGAAGTAGTCAAAGGCCATTGCAAAGGAGTACACGGCGGTATTTGTTCCCGCCAGGTTCTCTGCCGGAATTCCAGCTGCGGTATGTTAGCAACTCCTACGGTTGAAGTAAATTTATCAATAATCAAGACAATAATTCACCATTTTCTAGAGCTCGGTAGGTAGTCTCGAGAACCCATCGCTGCTGAGGGTCCATCGAGGCAGCCTCTTTCGATGTAATAGAGAAGAAGGGGGCATCGAAAACAGCAGGGTCTTCTCTGAGAAAGTGTGCTCCCTTTGTTTTCAGCTAAGTAATCTATTAGCAAAAGAAAGCTTTAACATGGGTGATGGTACATGCAGTATTGAGTTCCTTTGTCTCTGGATGATAGAACGCTTCGAGATTTGCCCGGGACTCTGGCCATTCTGAGACGGTGTTTCTACCTTTCTCAAGCATATCCCAAAAGCTGGCCTCATCTTCAGCACCCTGGGGCAGCTTGAGGGAGATACCGACGATAGCAATAGGCTCCATTATGATACACTTATGTCCAACAACGATGGATCAGAATCAATGAGATCAACTCAAAGGGTGAACAGAAAACTAGGGTGGTGATAGAAGTGTAGAACGATAGGGGAGATCAGACAATCAAACAGAATACAAAGCGGCCCAAGCTTTTTGCTGATGACTGATACAGTTGGATGATGATGAGAATAGAGAAGGCTAAGACTAGGTGACCTCCTGATGGGCTTTCTACTGAGACTATATATAGGCATTCATCCTATCCTTTCTTCTTGTTTTCAGGTCTCAATCGCGTATTTCGTATCGAAAATGGAGCATTCTCCCTCAACCGTTCAAGAAAGACCGAAAATATTTTCCATTCCGCGTCTATCCATGAGATCGTATACACGCCTCTCCATGAGTTCTTGATGGAGGGGGGGTATCTCGAGTCAAGATAAGAGCCTTCTGCAAGACAGCTCTCCTGCGGTGTGATAACCAGGGTGGCTTCATATTATTGAGGTGTTTCTGCGGCGTTTAGGCATCACATCCGCTTCGGGGAAATACATCCAAGTGGGTGGCCTGATCTCAGTCTGGCTCAGCTCTTGTTTTCACGGATCCCACCAGCACGCTATTTGGTGTGTTATGAGGCATAAGGAGATGGTCCAGACCCTGGAAATCCAAGGACCAATGAGAGTGGTCAATGTGAATCCGTTTCCCCCCCGAGCATCTTACGAATAACACCCCTGCCAGTTAGTTTGCATGTCCCTGGGGCACAGTCCTTCGCCTAAGCCCTTGCGAAGCGCTGTGTATGCAGATGTACCTCAAGACTCAGTCGAAGGATGTAATAGGGAAGTTTCAGCCCCGGTCGCCCAGTAATATGCGGGTAGACCATATATGTATTAGTCGAGATGGTGCGCCAGCGGTCGTCGGTATTGCCAATCGGGATCTGACGGGATCTGACCGTCAGCTTCTAACTTCTTACAGGGTCTCGTTAGGCAAGGCCAGGATTTGACGGAACCGAGCACGGTCGGTCCTATTTCGTCTTCTCTCATGATTCCTCTGCCATGTGCGCCTAGTGGGGTCAGCGTTACATCAGATGTATTGGTATCACACCTTTGATGAGAATATTGAAACGCGAGAATTGGCATGAGAAGATGGCGTTTGGAGCCGTGTAAGTCGGGCAAACGGCATTCCGCATAGCAGGCGATCATCGATCGATCCAGAGGTACGGCTGCCTGCCCTCCCATAGTCTACCTTCCTCCCAGTCATCCCTCAGTCTTCTCTTTCTTCAACATCTTCATCGTCTGTTTCATCTCAGCCAGAGACATCATCACCTAAATTCAGTCCTCCCACATCATCGCTTGTCTATCTTGGTCAATCCAGCAAACTTACAATGGCGCCTGCACTGACAGAATCACCCGTTGTCAGTCCAAGCACTGGTAACAAGAAGGACATCTCTATCCATGACTTCTTCGGCCGCGCTCGCACCCGAATCATCGGCCAGCAGGTGGTCCCTGAGGCTACCAAGTCCTTGCCTACCTTCTACCGTAACCTGGAGGAGGCATTGGATATCCGCCGCGCCTCCCAGAGCCTCTACTACATCATGCAGAATCATTGGCAGACCAGCAGCGCCGTCAATTTCTGCTCGAATGATATTCTTTCCCTCAGCGCCAGCGGAGCCTTGCGAAAGGAGTTCCTTGCTGAGCTCGCCAAGCACCCTGATTTCATGACAGGGTCGGGCGGATCGAGGCTCATGGATGGCAATTATCCATATATTGAGCAAACTGAGCGAGAGATCGCTGCCTTCCACGGTGCCGAGGAATGCCTTCTCGTCGGCTCTGGGTACGAAGGCAATGTTGCTATTTTTACAGCCATTCCTCGTCCTGGAGATGTCATTGTCTACGACGCCTTGGTCCATGCGAGTACTCACGAGGGTATTGCGCAGAGCCTTGCAGCCGAAAGGATTGAGTTTCAACACAATGATGTCCAGTCTTTCCGTGATATCTTGATTTCGATTCTCGAATCGAACATCCAAGTCAAGCAAGGAAGACGCTCGATTCTCGTCGCTGTCGAATCCGTCTACAGCATGGATGGTGACGTTTGCCCCCTCCAGGAGCTTGTTGATGTATCCAAGGAGCTCTTTGGCGAGCACCATGAGAACGTTCAGTTTGTCGTTGATGAAGCACACAGTACAGGAATTCTCGGGCCTCAGGGTGCCGGGCTTGTTTCCCATCTTGGCCTTCAGAAGGAGATTGCTGTTCGAATGCATACATTTGGCAAGGCCATGGGTTGCAGTGGAGGTACCTCTCTCTCCCTTGCATAAATTATCCATATTGATATCTAACCTTGAATCACAGCTGTCATCATGGGCAACAAGACCGTGAAGACTGTCTTGGTCAATTTCCCACGGTCATTCATTTTCACCACCTCGCCCGCCTTCCCGTTCGTTGCATCCATTCGAGCTGGCTATAATTTGCTCAGTACAGGGCGCGGAGATGCTGTAAGAATAATCCTTGATCGTGATGTATCAGTCCACCAATGGCTAATCATTTTGGTCTAGGCCCAAGAGCGTGTCCAAGATCTCGCCACCCTCTTCTTTGATACGATCACTTCCCATGAAAATTGGGCAAAGGCTAACAAAGCTGGCCTTCTCTTCGTGCCCCAATCCAAGAACTGGGATGATCGTGAGTTTCTCACCCACATCGTCACAATCCACACGCGCGATCAGTATATGTGGTGGCTTTACCTCCACCTACTTCTCTCAGGCTACTGCGTCTTCCCCGTCGAGCACCCGGTTGTACCTGTTGGACAGAGTCGACTCAAGGCTACATTTCACGCTGGTAACAGCGAGGATGATATTAAGGGCCTCATCGACTCGATCTACAATTGGATTGACGAAATTGTAGAGATTGAGGATGGTAAGACTGACAAGAAGGTCACAAAGGCCGCGGGTCAGTTCTATTCCATGATGAGACAGGAAGGGCTGAGTGGATTTGGTATGATCTAATCCTCGATCTAGCTGATTTAGATATTTCGTGACTGTTTTCTGCTTTCTTTTGCTTTCATATTCAGAGGGTTCACTCTTTTATTTTTCTTCTTTCCTTATCATTGATCTGACTATCATCGATGTCAATTTAAAGATCGTCAATTCTACTAGATTAGTTCGCATATTGGTACTTCGATTTCGCGCACCCTCCATCTTGAGTTCCAACTACAATACCTAAGGCATAAGATCGCCGATCGCTCGCTCCGACGATGTCACTAGAGGATTAAAGCCAAGACTGAACCCATGTTCAAGACCGATACCGGGGGGATGACGACGCCGCATACCATTGACCCTGCCAAGCCAGTTCCCTGTCATCACTTGCAGCTGCTGAACATCTCCTGCATGATACCGCTTAAGCACATATTCAGCTAGGAAGAGTATGAAATTAGTGCATAAGAGCATTTTTGCAAACCAGCTACCCGCCCACCGACCGGTCCGGTTGGTGAGTGTGTTGTATTTAAGTTAGGATGGCGCATGAAATTCGGCATCAGTTAGCCATATTCACTCACGCAAATCTGTTACAGCCACCCAAATAAGAATTGTTGGAAAGGTGCCGCGGATCATTAAGTGAACGTTGAAATAAACACTGCAATTGCTGACTAGGAAGGTGGGATAAAGGAGGTCAGGGGGTGAATTTTGCCCCCCACCCTCCTTGAATCGTGAGAATGACCACCCCCGCATAAGATCAGACAACATCATATTAGTACATGTACGCTGGTATTGCGTGCAGTGGAAACCTAGATATACCCCCCATTATCGCTCCACGGGTTTGCCGAGCGACCACGCTGCCTAAAGGTGGTCTGCACGTGGCAACTCGTGGCCTGCATATTGCTACGGTATGGGTCAGATTATGGAGAGCCTACACCGGGTTTGGGAGCGTATGCACCTCCATAGAAAAGGGAAATGGCATGACATCCCATGGGTCCGATCCTAAACCGTTTTATTGCATGGCTCTTCTGTCGTTCTGGAAGCTCTCGTCCAACGACTACTGTAGGTTCTAACATAGTACAATGTAACGTCGCGTATAGTGGTATGATTGGCACCCTAGTCTCTTGGAAGGCGATCTCCGACGCAAAAAGCTGCCGCTGTGACACAGAGACGCATATTGGCTTAGCTGCCGATTGTGGCATCCATTGCGGTCTAAACTAAACGGCATTCGAGAGGTACGAGTTACGGGGAGTCTAGGACATGAATCCTCCTGCTGCCGTCTCGCCTGATGGCTGCATGAATCGGGCAGACCAAGCCCCCGTGTTCCATATCTTAGAGCCCGGGAGAAATTTAGGACCTTGGAATGAGCATACGTGAAAGCGATGAGTTCATCTTGGGTGATAGCCTGCAATTTTGTCCTACGAATTCCATTGTCTCTCCCATAACATGCCAAGTTTCTTGCATCCCTCGCCTATGAACTGAGGCTTGACTTTTACCACGGCAATTACCGAAGCCAGTCAGCTCACTCCTCTGTTACGGTTGGCCTGAGGAGGAGACAAAATTCATGATAATCTAAAATGATCACCTAAGATCTCAAAAGGCCCCTTAACGCTATGTAAGCGGTTAGCTTTACCTCAGAATATGATTGTTCTATGTATTTACTTGGCGGCGCTGTTCTAGAACCCAACGAGAAATATTGAGAAATTTGATACCGAGTTGATTCTGGTGACCGAGTCATCACAACGATCCACAATCCCATTTTGGTGAGTCTCTGTAGAACACAACTAAAAATACATACAAACGCTACTCAGCAGAGACAATCTTCTGCACAGCCGGAACTTTGCTCGCCAGTTCCTGAATAATCTCCTTCCAGGCAATAGCCTGTACCTTTTTGGCAACCTCGCTAGTCATGTTGGGCTCCGCAAATCTACATGTAGCCAGTCATCAGTCCGCAAGTTCAGCTGAAATGCACAATGATCGATTAGGGGAGTTCTCGGCAAGGCAGCGGCCGCCAGAGAGCATAAGCACGGCGCAGGGGTTAGGACGGAGCAATTGGGGAGGAAGTAAAAACGAAAAGGGCAAAGGAGACACCCACCGGCAGTACTGTTCCCGAGTGAGCCACGCATTGCAAAATCGGCCCTACGGATAACGGCAACTGTTAGCGAAGCTGAGACGTAGATCCCGAAACAGGGCTGAGTTTTCCACCCTCCACACTTCGTTCGCGTACATGATGCTCCTCCGGCAGAAGAGATGCCGTGATAAACGTTCTAGCCCCGGCGTCGGGCGATTTGCCGCTGATCATCATGTAGGTGGCCACACCCACCTTCATTGACCACCCTTCGTCGGCAATATGGCCCGCGATGTTAGTATTGACCGTGCCTGGGCAGACACTGTTTACTATCACCTGAGGCCTGGAGTGTAAACGAGATCAATATTGTAGATTCTCAGCGGGGTAATACCCGCGATAAAGGGGTAATGGTGTGGTCCACTCACTTTCCGTTGGCATCATTGGCCCTCTGGCTTATCTCCTCGATGGCATACATGACTAGCAGCTTGCTGTTGGCGTAGTTGGGCTCCATCTCGTCTCGTACTGATGGAGGCCAATACTTCTTGTCACTGAAGTGCTTCAGAAGGCCCTCTGTCTCACCCCATTCTTGCCAATGTTCAATGCTTGGATACAAGTGGTCGCGAGAGGTGACAAACAGAAGACGAGATGGAGACTTGCGGTTAGGCCGCTCTTCCTTAAGCCACTCTTCCAATAGCAGGCCGAGGAGAGCAGTGCTGACTGCGTTGACCTGAATTGTCTCCTCCCTTTATCGTATCAACATTTGTTAGACCAAGCTGATAAGAGAAATCTTACAGTGATGTTCAGAGGAGATTTGTGTGACTTACCATCCTTCTTTGGTTGTTGTAAAGATTGGGTTATTCGTACCGGCGTTGAGCACTGCCACATCAAGCCCGCGCCCTTTGAAGCGTTTTTGAAGGTCTCCGACAAGTGCCACGCAAGATTCATACGAGCACATGTCCAACTCCAATACAGTCACCTTATCTGTGCCATTGAATTTCGACACTTGCTCAATCTGCTTCTTAGCACTCTGTCCACGAGCGACATTGCGACTGGTGATGAACACTTGAGCGCCCAGGGCAGCATAATGCATAGCAGCAGCGAGCCCGAGGCCTCCGGTTCCACCTGTGATGAGTACATTCTGCCCATCGAAGGTGCCTGCAGGGGGCAGTGGCTGTGCCACAAAGCGACCGAGGATTCGGCGGACTGGGAAGATGGGGATTGTCATGTTTAGAGAATTGTGGTGTAGAATTGAAGGGAACCGAATGCCCCAAAATTATGTGCCATTACTTGCAACTTCTATCATAATCCCTAGTCCAATGAGTGATACTAATATTTGTAACATCATCCGAAGAGGTATGCGAATGCGAGTGTGCGACTCCTTGACCGACCCTTGGTCGTGTGTGAACTTCGAAACTCAGCCCTCTGAATCCTAGAAACCTAATCTTGAGAAAAACCGAATGCCGGAAATCAACGCAAAGATTTTGGCTGCCTCCTGCTTTGGTGCTGACGATGCACGTCGTATCCTGCTCAAGCGGTTACGACGGACTTCACCATGTCGAACTCCGCGGGATACGGCACTTTGTCACTTTGATCCCCTTTCGTGACATCTAAAGTTACATCTTTTTTTTATCTGTCCCTTTTCCCTCGGGTATCATCAATTGACGTACATCACATCCTTGATGAATGGGCGCTGTGGTGGAGGGTGTATGAATATCACTTCCTCCCTTCCGCATCCTTGCAGGCGATGGGCCCGTGTCAGTTTATTGCTATGGAAAATAAGCGCGGGAGGAAATTTGTCCGTTGAAGAATGCAAGAGATCTCAAGCTTTAAATCAATCCCCTGTCAGCTGAAAAACAAGCTTCAGCGGGAACCATGACCAACGGACCATGCCACGGGACGTGTCATTCCGGTTACAACGGCCATGGTTCTGGCAAAAAGATGCCGAATTTTAAACTCGCATTGAAGATCCAATGAAATTTCGTATTCTATTGGCTGTGGCGTTAAACTACAAGTATTGGTGATCTAGACCTTCTACAACACTGCAATATCGAGCAGTTCGTACATACACCAATGTCCCTTTCCTGTCAGATTCAGTCAGCACAAAGCCAGATACCAGAATACCACTATTTTCAGGTTTATCACGCCATAACGCCTCGTGCCAAGCGCAGGTGAGTACATCGCAAACAAGGCCCCTGTTCACACCCTCGTGAGCTGCATCGCCCTAATCCTGGCGTCGACGGCTGTCAGTCGCACCCTGACATCCCGCTGCCGATCCCTACCCCTTTCCCGCCCCTCTCGTGTTGCGGTCCGAGTGTTTTTAAAACCGCGGACATCGGCTTTCAAATGCCTGCATATCCACTTCCCACACGGATGACGGCGGTCCCGGCCGCGCGTAAGGCTGTGCTGCGACAAGGAGCTAGTCCATTCCTTCGCTGGAGCTGTCGTTGCCAGTTCTAACTCTGGCTGTGGAAAGCCAGGTACATTGGTTTATCGAGCTGAAATTGAAGATTAAGCAGTGTAAACGGATGATAGGAAAATCTACCTTGTTATCCTCGATATTGTGTTTGACTCGCTGTCATGTCACTCAATCTCGGCGTGAAACTATTCTTGTGACATGAAATATTCAATGCGATGGGTAGCTAGAACCTGAAATATTCGCAGAATCAGAGATCGCTGAGAGAAAGGCAAATGAGTCCGCTTTCTTATATATGTTGTAGCGACATTTTATTCAAATCCGGTTTATCGCGAAGCCCAAGGCTATCATCCCATCTGCAATGATATCTGTGCACCCAAAATCTTGAACAATGTACCGACGAGGAGATCTTTGTGGGCTTTAATGATGATCTCCAAGCTTCAAGCTTACCAGCACCAGACTGGAGCCATCGTGACGTTGCGCGGGCATCTTCGTTATCGAGAGATCATATGCCCTGTTTAAATCATGAGCTTTGTTTATCTAGAACATTTTCCCAGAATCCTATATTGCTCCATAAGCCTCGTAGAAACGCATGCCATTTGCTTTGGATGAAATCAAGATCATGAGACATGTATCTGCTGTCTCAAATCAGTCTGATGATCAATATCTCATCACGAGGATCGTAGGCTATTCCTAGTTGGCATACGTCGTTGAATTTGGTCCAATACTTGAGGGCCGAAGTCCGTATACACGAATCATTACGTATGCGTCCTGAACTTCTGTTGATCAACGCGTAGGCATCTAGGCTGTACGACCCGACAAGTATGGATTCTCTATGCGGTTGGTGATCCTGTTGGGGACCGAGGACCGCGTTTCCAACACAAAGACCTCACCGACATTTTGTTTTAGGGCCCTCTTGCTATACTCTGCGCTTTGCCTAATACTATCCAGTCATAAACAAAGTTATCGACTCTTTGGAGTCCTTCAGGAACCTTGTGCAGACGCAAGAAGACGCGTGTTGTGATACAAAGAACCTACTATGCTTACAATTGCTTACAATCTCTCGCGCCGGGATGTATGCATTATGTATTGTTGGTGATCTGCATTTGTAATTACCGAGTTACATTGGTCCCTAATGTAACGACCGAGTTCACCCAGTGCCAGAGTCTACGCTTCATGCGACGCGGCAGATGCTGTGGGACATGGATGCACAAGGCTTGGTTCGGTCTCGGATTAAGTTTATGCATTTGATTCCTTTGGGACCTCCGGTATTTCCGTGGTTGGTATCAATTGATCAATGTCATTACGAGACGTTCGTTGCTGGGTGGCCGAAGAATCGTTTCCACCATCAGAGTCAGACCAGGAGAAACATTCTCCAGGTAGATATTCGGAAATTATAGACACAGAGGACCTCGCCATATTTCCTATATCTCCAATTTCCACCCAAGGTCATAGGCGACAACAACACTCGAGTTCATCAAACGGGCTGTGTCGTCTTTCTCCAAGAACCATTCTCGGTCGACGACACGAACCACAAGCGGAAGTCGTTCTTCACTTGAGAGGACCATCAACTCTGAGCGACAGGAGTGTCTCTGGACGAAAGAACGAAACTGGCATAAGGTTTCCTTGGATGGTGGAAAATTAATTGGTATCAGAACGTAAATTTATCAAATCTAGCCTTCAGGGGACATAGAATAGCAATTTTGAGAGAACGGAAAACGGGGAAGCAACGCCAACAGAACCACAGGAAACTCGAACGACAACAGTCTTTCTCTACCCAACAGCCGGAATTTGTCCCGGGCTCGATAAAAAACTGGCTATACAGGTGTTCGAATAAGCCACACCCACGATACGAAGTTGTCTTTCCTCCCATCCTCCGGAACGTCATTCCCAAACATGTCGCAGTACCTGCAGGTAGCTTCGGTAAGCGACTTATCAGGGTGAATACTTGCCTTACTTGCTTCGTCAAAGAATCTTCAACGGTGGATCTCATGCGTTCTTCGCCGTGAAATTGCCTGTCCGCAGGAGCTCATGAACAACTCTTATTTGCCCAAAGTCAACATCGTGATTAACGAGAATGCGTTTCTAAGATAGTTCAAATATCAGTCTCAAGGCTTGGGGTTTCAGTCTGGCTTAGCTTCGTTTTGCAGGACTTATTCAGATGAACTGGTCTTGGACTTGGGATGGTCCCGCAAGGATACGGATGAGAGTTTGAGTACAGAGTAAAAACAATAGTGAAAGATGCCACACCCGACATCTCAACGCAATGAATACGGGCCCTACAAGGATATTAACAAGAATCCTAGTTTTTCGTCTCAGCTATAGCTTTGCCGTTTGTGTCAAGTGACCACGTATGCACAAGATCTATCTTCTAGTGGATCTACTCGCCTGTTCATCTCTCAGAAAGAGAAGGTAGCAGATATACAACCCTACATTATATGGAAATTTGTGCGATTTACGGGCTTTGGATAATACCATATGATAAGATGATTCCTAGCCAGTAGTTACCACAATTCAGGCTCTCGATCATGCGAGGATAATGTCTATTGTAGTGGAAGGGAGTGAATTTTGTAGAAGGGAATCCTCTGAATAATCCGCCTTTGGATAATTCTGTTCTGTCTGCGATGTTCTTTAACCAACCAAAACTTGGCAGCAGATTGAACTTAGTATGCAGTTGATAGAACCTTACCTCATTCAGGTTACTGGGTCAAAAAGACGAGAGTTAATAAAAGTTAAGTTGGATCGTCATGACGATATTACCTCATAAATATTATATATGTAATATTTGCTCTCAAATACGACGTGATGAGTGCGAGCTAAAGGGATAAAATGGGCTGGAACACTCCGGGAAGCAGCTATGCAGGATAAGACTGGTGCCTTCCCAGTTACGATAAGTAATGTATTATGAGTGGATTGAATATCAGGTGAACTTTACATCTTGGCAAATCATACCCCTCTTCGTTGTCAACCGGCGGGGTGTCATTATATCTCGGTGCACACTTCTTACCATGTGATGCAGAACAGGGGCAAGAATGCACCGGGTATCCTGGGTGTGGAGAAAACACCCGGCGATACACTTAATTTTTTCAAAATGTTCGAATCTCCTTCTGGCTCCTAGTTTCCTAACAAACAGGAAAATGGCCAGGGTCTCAATTTTGCAGAAGACACTCACTCATCTTGCTCTAAACAACCATTGCCGTTGTCACAATGTTTTGTACTTCCCCTGATCTGAGGCTGGCACAGAGTCCTCCACAAAGAAATTCTCGGCTTCCACTAGTCCTAGGCCACAATCATTAGATTGGTTGCTAGGTTCAGATGTGGTATTCCCAGAACCGTTTGAGCTACCAAGAGATGGGTGATGAAAGCCACTCCGTTCATAATCCCGGTAGCACATAGCTATTTGAACGCGATATTTAGGGTAATAAATGCAGTATTCCACTATCAGGCCTTCCTCTTCAAATTCATTTCGCGAGCGCATGGCAGGAAGCTGCCCAAATATGCTATCTATTCCTGGCAATGAAGTAACTTTCCTTCCAACAGCTGGAACTCCTATTTCGCCACATTAAAGTTCAAGTTTGGTCAAAAGTAAAGTACAATACAACAATCAATCATTTAACATCATGGGAACTCCATACTACCTCAATATTTCGGCATGCCCAGCCCCCGCTAGCTCCTCACTCGAATGTTTATTCTTCCCGGCCTGCCACATTTCAACCGGTTCGCCTCTCACACCTCGGCAAGAGACTGACTTAAAATATAACACACCTAGAACCTCTAGCTTTTGAATTTCAACACATCAAAATAATTAACCTAATATTAAATATAATGTTAAGTTCATTATTATTAGAATAATGTATCATGCTCCTCTTATTTTATTTAGTATTATTAGTAGGAAAATGAGGTCCCTGCCTCACATGAAAAGAGCTTTGGTAGGCCATTGGCATGTGTTTTAGGCCACTTGCTCGGTTCTTTGTTTACACCCAGTGGCCCACGATCCACTTTTCTAATCCTAAAAATCGGCAGCATTTAGGATTAGATAATCAAATCTAACCTTCAGAACTCCGACGCGAGTTGCGAATCAAGCTCCCCATCTGTCGTCCTTGATAAAAAGCCTTGTGAGTAGCTTCATTTGGCGCCAGTTCAATTATGTCAATTTCGAAATCATCATTTGTGCGGCTTCCAAGCCAAGGTGATGCATGTTGATTAGGTTAATGAAGTGCAATTGTAGGTCGTGATCGAGACCTACAACCAACATCCTTACTCTGATATTCGAAATAGCGGCCAAAGCTAGTTGGCATGATCATACAAGCTATACATTAGATGACCTACTCTTGAAGTGACTTCCGAAAACACCAAATGAATTACAAGTGTGAAGCCCCGTTGTCTCCGAAATCAAGTTCAACCTTTGGTTGTGGGATATAGGGTAGGTAACTACATATGGGGGACGAAGTGCTGAGTAATGAAATGCGCGTCGGAATGTGGGTCACGTGGCTCGATTTGTGGGCTAATGGTCCTGGTCGCGTCTCCCCGCCTATGCTTCCTGAATGCATGGCGACTCTGGATGGTAGAGTTCTCATCCTTCATTAATATGTATCGCATCATCATCGCTGAGCGGCGGAAAACAATCAATTAGCAAGACACGGAACTCAGTCTTGTTGGTGCCGCCCTTTGGACCCCGCGATGCCGAGAGCACAACACTAAAAACAGCGTCCCACTACAGGTCAGAAAAATGATTGGCAGCCGCGAGATTTCGATGCGAGACAGACTGTTCGCGCGGTGGGTCTGCCGCGGCGTTCGGAGCTTGGCACGAGACTCTCCATCCCTGTTGCATCCACAACCGCCGCTGGACTAAGTAGTTCGCCCTGGCGTTGCTGATATGGGCTGGGAATACCGCATTCTCGATGTTGTACTCTCTTTTAATTCGCATTTTCTTTTATATAATCTTTTGCTGAGAGTCCAGTACACCATTTTCTGAAGCCCCCATGTCCAGCTATTTCGTCACGTGAGATCCCCCTTGTCACCCACCTTGACGCTTTTGGCTGCAGACGGCTAACATACCCCTATCCCCTCCCATAGAATCGTTCGATTGGACGTTCAAATCTATCTTTCATATTGAGATATCTTAAAAGAAAAGTTCCCATTCAGTGAGGATATAACTGCAACTGGGGCGACGGATGACCGCAGTCCTCCTCAAGGACCCCTCCGATCCCGTTCATTTTGAAGCTTCATTGCAGCAACTATGGCAGATGAAAAGCTTCATAAGACGTCTGATGAGGTAGCCCTCGGCTCGGGCCGCCTAGATGATGATTTGTTATCCATTGCCAGACAGCTCACCGGAGCTTCTCAGTCCGTCAGTGCCGAATTGAAAGCCTATGATCCGCAACCTGGCAGCCAACTCGACCCCAAATCACCGACCTTTGATGCCCGCTCCTGGGTTAGAGCACTCATAAATCTGACCGAGTCTGATCCTGAGATGACTCCTCCACGGTTTCTCGGCGTCGCCTTTCGAAATATGAGTGCTTTTGGTTGGACGAGCGGTACCGAGAGCCAGCCAACAGTGACTAACATGGTACTGCGCGCATTGGCAGCTGTGGGAAATATGCTTGGATTACATCAGAGGCGCAGGAGGGTTGATATCCTGCGAGATTTCGAGGGCATTGTCGAACAGGGAGAGCTTCTCCTGGTGCTTGGCCCTCCTGGATCTGGATGTTCAACTTTCTTGAAGACGTTGGCAACTGAGACGTCGGGATTCAAACTCAGCCCTGATTCTTATCTTAACTACAGAGGCAAGTTTCCTCCTTAGGCTGCGATGGCCTCTGTCTTCTACACTTATTGTGGTCAATGGCTAACAAATGGAACGTCTCTGGCAGGCATTGATCCCGTCCACATAAAAAAGAGCCTCCGCGCCGACGTCCTGTACAACGCCGAAGTCGACGCACATCTAGCCCATCTCACAGTCGGAGAAACCCTCACCTTCGCTGCACGATGTCGTTCCGCCCGCCACGTCCCGCAGGGCGTCACAAGAGAGCAAGTCGACAACACGCTACGCGACGTGATGATGGCAACCTTTGGCATTGGTCACACCTTTAACACTCGTGTCGGTGATGAGTTTGTACGGGGTGTCAGTGGCGGCGAGAGGAAGCGTGTCAGTATAGCCGAAGCGGCTCTCACAGGAGCCAAGTTTCAGTGCTGGGACAATAGCACTCGAGGTCTGGATAGTGCCAACGCTATCAACTTCTGCGAAAACTTGCGTTTGCAAGCTGATATGATGGGTATTGCCGCTGCCGTCGCACTGTACCAAGCTCCCCAGTCCGCTTATGAGGTATGGAAATGCTCTCACTAAGCATTAGCTAGTGCTGGAGTTGCTAATTTCATTTTGGCAGCAATTTGACCGCGTCATCGTACTGTACGAAGGGCGGCAGATCTTTTTCGGTAAGATCTCAGAAGCTAAGGAATACTTTGAAAACCTAGGGTTCGAATGTATGTTCTCCTGTTGCATTGAACCAGATGCTAGGTACCGTGAACTGACATATTTGCTTCCGTTTAGGTCCCAATCGCCAAACGACGCCGGACTTCCTGACCTCCATGACAAGCCCAGGAGAGAGGTACCCAAAGCCTGGGTTTGAAAATCGAGTCCCTCGAAGCCCCGACGAGTTTGCTGCCCGATGGCGCGAGAGTGAGCACCGACAGCGGCTGGCAGACGAGCTCAACGCATACGAGAAGAAGCACCCGTCTGAGGAACGGCTGGAAGAGTTCAACAACTCCAGGCGGGCGCAGCAGGCAAAGAGCCAGCGACTTCGGTCCCCTTACACCATCTCGTATTATCAGCAGGTGCGGCTGACGCTGTGGAGAGGGTACGTACGTTTGAAAGCGGACCCGACATTCACAGTCGCCAATCTGCTTTTCAACACGATTGTCGCCTTGCTCCTTGGTAGCATGAATTATGGCATGAAGGATGATACTTCGTCGCTGTACTACAGAGGATCGGTCGTCTTCTTTGCCATCTTGTTCAATGCCTTCGCCAGCCAATTGGAGGTAAGCAATAACATATTTCCGTTAATTTACAGCTTGGATGTTTACTCTAACACAATCCCAAGGTTCTGACCGTCTATGTCGAGCGACCCGTGGTTGAGAAGCATAACAAGTATGCCTTCTACCACCAGTCGACCCAGGCGATTGCGAGCTATCTGACCGACCTTCCGTACAAAGCTGTCAACATGTTCATCTTTAATGCGACCATTTACTTCCTCGCCCATCTGCGCCCCGGTGCCGGTCACTTCTTCTTCTTCTGCTTGACGACATTTTTGCTCACCCTTGTTATGTCCTCTCTGTATCGGTGGTTGGCAAATATCACAAGGACCGCATACCAGGCAATGGTACCCAGCGCAATCTTGAGTTTCGCATTCATGATCTACACAGGGTATACGATTCCTACTAACTATATCCCTACGTGGTCCCGATGGATTAATTACATCAACCCGTTTGCATATGCCTTTGAGTCTCTTATGGTGAATGAATTTCACAACAGGCAATTTCCCTGTGCCCAGATCATCCCACAAGGACCCGGATACGATGGCATTCCTCTCGAATCCCAGGTTTGTTCATCCGTGGGTGCTCTCCCAGGCTCAACAACCGTGGATGGAGACAGGTACATTGGGCTGACCTACGAGTACTACAATACACACAAGTGGAGGTGAGTGCACTTGTTGACTGGATAGCTGTATATAATAGACTCTAACGATATCAACTAGAAACATCGGAATCCTATGCGCCTTCTGGTGCTTCTTCTCCGTCATCTACATCCTGGCCGCCGAGTTTGCTAAGCCCCCGAAGAGCAAAGGCGAGGTCCTAGTCTTCCCTTCGGGTAAAATGCCTAACCAACTAGGCAAGAAAGGAGCTAAAGACATTGAGCTGCAACCTCCCCTCCGTGATCTCAGCGTCGAAAAACAACAGGATGGCTCCTCGAATGTGGGTGTCGGTTTGGCAACTGATACAGCCGTATTCCACTGGGAAGATCTCTGCTATGATATTCAGGTTAAGAAGGAAAATCGCCGTATCCTGGATCATGTCGACGGCTGGGTCAAGCCAGGAACTGCAACTGCACTGATGGTATGAGCCGAAGTCGAACCCTGCTCCTTTTTTGACTTACTGACTTTGATTTTTCAGGGTGTTTCGGGGGCTGGCAAGACTACACTACTAGATACCCTCGCGAATCGAGTCACAATGGGTGTAGTAACCGGCGATACATTAATTAATGGCGACCCAACAGATAATTCCTTCCAACATCGTGTTGGTTATGTCCAGCAACAGGATTTACACCTGAATACCTCCACAGTCAGAGAAGCTCTCGAGTTCAGCGCCCTCCTGCGCCAGTCCGTCGAAATATCCAAGAAGGACAAATTATCATACGTGAACCAGGTAATTGAGATGCTTGAGATGGAAAGCTTCGCAGATGCTGTTGTGGGTGTCCCTGGGGAAGGCCTCAACGTTGAACAAAGAAAGCGTCTCACTATCGGTGTCGAATTGGCAGCCCGACCTCAACTTCTACTCTTCCTTGACGAGCCAACGTCCGGCTTAGACTCACAGACCTCATGGGCTATCTGTCAGTTGATCAAGAAGCTCACCCGGAATGGCCAAGCGGTACTCTGTACAATCCATCAGCCTTCGGCCATCCTGTTCGATCAGTTCGATAGGTTGCTATTGCTCGCACCAGGTGGCAAGACGGTGTATTTTGGAGGTAAGCTCGATCAGCTCCAATGGCCAAAAGACGTCATATGAACTTCCGCTTATGTGTATCAGAACTTGGAAATAAATCAAGGAATTTGATTGATTATTTTGAACGAAATGGCGCTCAGAAATGCCCCGTCGAAGGCAATCAAGCAGAGTGGATGCTTGATGTCATTAAGCCCCCCATGGATGGAAGCGACGGGATCGACTGGCACAATACGTGGCGGACTTCCCCTGAGTACCAGAATGTCAAAGCTGAGCTGGCACGACTGCGAAGCCTCGCGAGCGCCAACGAGGAAACAGCCCTTCAAAGAACCGGCGAAGCGTCCCAGCATCGGGAATTTGTGGCCTCGTTCTGGACCCAGATGCTACTCGTTATTGACCGCACATGGAAGCACTTTTGGCGCTCGCCTGTGTACATATGGTCCAAGACCATCCTTGTCGTCGTTTCGGTGAGGAGACTACCTACTCCGTCCTCTTGATCTTCTTACTGATTTGGTCGCGCCTCTAGTCGATCTTTATTGGATTCAGTTTCGTCGCGGAGAATACCATTCAGGGCTTACATAACCAACTCTACGCCATCTTTATGTTTCTTATTATGTTCCAGAACATCAACGAGCAGATCATGCCCATGTTCGAACCGCAGCGGGCCTTATTCGAAGTCCGCGAACGGCCTTCAAAGATTTACAAATGGACAGGTGAGTGCCGTTGGTTCATGTTAATCATGAATGACCAGTTACTGATATTCGAGGCTCAGTTTTCCTCCTCACAAATATCTTAGTAGAAGCTTGCTGGAATACATTCATGGCTGTCGCGGCTTACTTCTGCTGGTACTACCCCGTGGGATTCTACATCAACACCACAGCCGAGAACTCCGCTCTGCGCGGATTCCGGGTCTTTTTGTTTCTCTGGATGTTCATGTTGTTTACAAGTACGTTCTCGCACTTTGCGATCACTTGGATGCCCACGGCCGAAGTGGCAGGCGTCCTCGCTGCGCTACTGTGGATCTTCTCGTTGGTTTTCTGCGGGTAAGTAGCTCCCCATGGCGAATATATAAGGATTTGGTTGATTCGACCATATAAAAAAATCATCTCAGATACTATTCTAACGCCCATCTTAGCGTCGCAATCCCACCCGTGGACTTCCCCAACTTCTGGAGGTGGATGTTCCCTGTTTCCCCTGCCACCTATCTTGTCGGAGGCGTCATGTCCGCAGCCCTCGCCGGCGCAAACGTCACATGCTCCGCGGCCGAAATACTTCATCTGATCCCGCCAGACAACTCGACTTGCGGCGCATTCTTGTCAGGTTTTGCTGATGCCGCCGGTGGGCTCCTGCTGAATCCGGAATCGACGGAGGAGTGCAGTTACTGCCCCCTCAGGACAACCGACCAGTTTCTGTCCCGGTTCGAGATCTATATTAAGGATAATTGGAGGAACTTTGGTTTGATGTGGGTGTATATTCTCTTCAATGTTGGATGTGCAATGGGGCTGTACTGGCTTTGCAGGATGCCGAAGGGGAAAGGGGTTAAACGTGCGAACAAGAAGGAATCTGTTGGCAGTTAACTTAGTATGTAGTCGGTGGGTTTATTCCTCGTCTGTTAGGCTTGATAATTGTAAGATTCTCGGATAGAGGAGGGAAGATATGAAACGATAGTGCTTCATCGAGGATATAGACACATTTTCTCGAGAGTTGGACCAATACAAAGTGAAATTTGGGGACATAGTTAGTTGCATCACTTAAAAAAAAGATTTCATTCGCTATAATCTGCATAATCAGAGTGCTTTCGGAGGTTCTTTGCTAACAGGGTATATGCATGTAGCATTGTTGATAGACATGTCCGTGATCGCCGCATAACCCATAACCTAGGAATTAGCCAGGGGTTCTCCCTGCTGCAAATACACACACCCGACTTTCCGCCTGCGGCCTGAAGATATAAGAAACCTGAATCCCCATCTGATGCTGGTCAAGAAAACGACTATTCACAGTATGGAAAAAATCCGATAACCTCCCGAAGTGCCTCGTTATACTCGGGAATGACAGCAAGACTGCGAGTCAAAGCTATTAGCACAACGTCAAGGGCAGGAAATTTATTGACCACTTACTAGGCATGCATATGGGTGTAGTCAGCCTGCCACCACCCGTCGTCGCGCTTCCAGCACTGCCAGTTGTGGACGATGGCTCCACGCTTCCGAAGAGCCTTCAGGAAGCACTGCCCGTATTCGTGCTCGCAGTATCCTTTGAACTGCCAGCTCATTCGAGGGAACCAAAACATCTGGTTGGACTCGAGGCACTTGAATTCATTGCGAGGCTTGGCATTGTAGGTGGACTCTGGGACTACTACGAAGGGGTGTTTGATAGAGTCATTGGGGATTCGCGCGGCTTCATAAAAACGAGACTTGTTGTAGGTGAAGTAGTGTGCATCCGGGTCATCGATGTAGGGGTGCCCGAGTATGGGATCTGCGAGTTCTTCCCAGTTCTCCTTCCTTCTGGCCTCGCTGTCCTCGCTGTCCTCGGTGCTCGCGGTAGTTATGGTGCTTGCGGTGGTATTGCTACTCGCGTTGATATTGGTGCTCACGTTGGTATTGGTGCTCGCGGTGGTATTGGTGCTATTGCTGGCGTCCATTGGCGTCGGCATGCCAGCGGCAAAGACCGCAACCACCAATGCGGAAGTCAAAACAGAAAGGACCTTCATGTTGTGTCAAGCAGTAAGTCTTGGTGCTTTGAATTTGGAAAAGACTTCTTGACTGGTATTGCTGTTACTGTCTCAGGATCCTTTGCCTGGAAGGGGCAGAGAGGAAGAAGATATACGTTTTTCTTTGACTTCCATGGACACTGGTGGCTCATTTTGAGTGTGAAGTATCTTCACCGTGTGGCGCACCATTTTCTTTTTAGCTCCTAGGATTCAAGCAGAGTAGAGTACAGAGGCGTGAGCCTGGCGGCTGTGTTGCTACGGTAAGTATCAAGCGCTGGCGGTTAACCTTTATGGATTCGATTTCATGAAAGAAACCACCGTTTTGTAGATCATGGGGCAAAATCATACCTTTCTTTCTTTTATTCTTTTTTTTAAGTTCAATTCTACTAGGCAATAGTAAATTATAACTGCAAAGTGAAACTTTATGGGGAAGATTCACCATTGCTCGTTTTCATTCAGGGGCCATTTTGAATTCGACTATATGAGTTTTCCTTTTTGCGCCTCACGCTACTATAACTTATCATATAATCCAAGAGTCACTTGTGACCAACCAATTCATGTCAGTCTTCATTTTGATGTTGACCTTATAACACCGGCTTCCTGATAGTAGCCTCGAGGTTTTACTTTAGAAGCATATCAGAATCGTGCTATCCGTGAAGTTGACATAGCTACGATTCCAGACAAAATCTGCTGTCAAGGCGGTGGCGTGCTTTTAGTTTACGGTCTGTGAGAAGCTATTCTTGGACATGGGTATTGGAATTCAAATAATACATAGCCACGATCTTTTCAGATTTTAGATCCCATCCCACATTACAGTATGTCCGCTCTGATTGATCCCTCCGACAAGAATACAAGGTGAAGCATGGGGAGAATGAATATTAGAGAAAGGCTAGTTCGGGTCACACCATAATACCATTCACTTTTCCATCATGGGATTTACCGAACCATCTAAATTGTGTAGGGATTAAGAAGCTTGATCAAGCCAAACGCACTCATGGGGCAAATTTCGGCAAGCATACTTTTGAGCGCTCGCCAGCCCGGATACAGTGGGCGTGACGTGCCGTGTCCGTTCGTTAGGCAACTACTCGCAGCAGAAACTCCATCATTTGCTCATCAAATGGAATAGAGGCCGCCACAAGCCACGGGAAAGTCCTCATATTTATCTATCAAAAGACCAGGTCAATTGATCTCGAGGTGTTCTATTTAATACGTCAGTCGCGGTATGATAATAATCAACTCCTCCTGCAAAACTAACTTTCAGTGACAATGTTTACTGGGTTGCTCCGCCTGAGAAAGGGAGCCTTTTCGATGATTCGCCAACGCGTCGATGGCCTTGGGATCCGAAACGTTGAAAAATATGTTCGCAGGCGTGACCAGAGCCCAGACGGGGCCCAGCTTCACATGGGTGTCGCCTTGGTCATAGAATTGCCATCCTGGGCGGGTGAACCGAATATATGTCGGGATGGAAGACCAGGGGCGGTTGTAGGAATCGATGAAGTCCCAAACATAGCCTTGGACAAGCATCCAGAAGAAATTCCTGTGGTCGATGGGGACCCAAACAATAGGTACACCCATGGAGCGACATTTCGCAATATTCCGCCACAGGCTAATGATGTTCCATGCAAGGTAGATCAAGGGCGAATACAGCAGTAGCTGGAACCACATCGCACGATCGGGAATTCGAGTCGGCTGCAGTGTCGCGGCGTCCAAAATAACTGAATTCATGTTATGGCTGAGCTTTGGCGTGATACGAAAGGATTTAAGGGCAAACCAAGTAAATTGCGACCATCTGGCCGACATTATGCTGAGCCTCTCTAATTTATAACCCGCGGTGCGGTGGCAATGACCTCCCACGTCACATGGACCAGCAATCAGCACAGACACGCCCGTCATCATCATGCTATGATTACCACCAATGATAGTGTTGTCTACACGCAAGCTAGACGTGGTGGGGGCTATTTCATTCTGCGGAGATCCTGCGATGCCACTGTGAGAGAAGCCCTTGCCGCTTTATGTCAGAAACGCTTACAAGAGCCAAGATTCTATTGTCAGTGGACCCAGTATCTGATATTCTTACTCATTGTGCGCTATGGGTACTTAATTTGCTTAAAGCAGCAGCTACTTTAGGTTGAATTTGGAACGGGGCTCATCGTGAGACGACAAAATTGGAGTGACCAATCAGAGCACCTGATTTACGAGAAGCTACAATAGGTAGCCGTCGTCATCAATGCGAATCTGCCACGGTATCCTTATATTTCACAAATTATTGATCACTTAATTAAAGCCTATTGCTCCTTGAAATCCATTATTATCCGACATGTCCGATTGTGGCATGATGACTGTTCTGCAGTCAGTGTTCTGACAACTTCAACTTCAACTCGATTACAAGGAGCAACACTCAACTACAATAATAAACCACAAAACTGTCTCCTCTGAAGTCAAATTCATGCAGAAAAAACAGGTCAGGTATACACATTTTAATACCTTATGCTACCTTAGCCTGCAGATCTGAACATGGAAGTCTCAGCAAACTACCAACAGGCCCTTCAGTTCTCGTTGGGCAGGTCGGGTGGGCAGATATATCATTCAATAGACCAAAGCGTGCCGGTCTATGAGAGGACATGGATTGATATTGTCCTTCTCGGGAACGGTGGCGAGTATGAAGGTCATGGTGTCGAGGAGGGAATCCAAAATCACCAGTTGCTTTCATGGTGCACGCAGGATAATTTCGAACAGCGGCGTAGGGAGACTACCGTTCATGGAAAGACTTGGTGAACATCAGGAGGTGGAGAATGAAGCAACAATAGGATGTAGAAGATGGGAGACCACTGAATGTCATAATGAGCTACGGCCTAGTAGTTAGTGATGATCCAAATACACTTGATTTTCTGTGCGCTCACCTCTTATATACTTTTCCTCCAAAGCCGCGGTCTTCTAGTTTCCAAACTGACATTGGAGATCATGGAAAGAGGGTCAGGGACTGAGACTCTAACATTATTTCCTACCATTTGGCCTCGGCCCTCACCCGTGCCAACTGCCAAACCTTGCGCCACGATGCCAAAGCCTCCATATATGCGTCGATGTCGCAGCATCAGTGGCTATACCGTTCCCTCTAAATGGGAAAGAATCCCCATTGATTACGAAGGCAAGAGGGATACTTGCTCCGTAGCCAGGCAGAATTCCTGCCAGGTCCGCGGTTTTGCTCAATCTGAGTCCACAGGTAGTACAGGAGCAAGATGAGAAGAATCCATTTCAGGTTCGCCAGCCCAGCAGCTGCTACCGACCTGGTGCCGCTCCGCACGCATCTAGCCGACGTCTGCGCGAGCTTTACCGAGCCTTCGCTGATCTGCTGGATCTTGCTGGGTGACGGCTCGGCGATGGGTGCATCGTCATCGGAGTCGCTGCGCGCTCGGTGTCGCCGTCCGGGGTCGATGTCGCATGGCTTGAGGGTGGGCTTTTTTCTCGCGAATGCCATCTGAGATAAATTGATTGATGAATGGTAGCGGTTCACAACTGAGAACACAGACTGGGATTTTTAAATGATCAAAGAATGGGGTGATTCAAGAGAGAGGGATTGGGGGCAGGCCAAGGGCATATATGCGGTGCTTCACCCCTGAAGCTCAGTTCATGAGGATTGGAAAATAGGCAGCAGCCAAGGGAAGAATTGCGCGTTGGTGATTGGGTCGCGATAAAATTCCCACTGGACAACGTTGGAGCAGCGCATAAGCTCCACTGGAGCTGCCAAATGAGCGATGCGAATAAAATTACCCCATTAATCAACACCCGCGAAGGCAGCAACTCAATTGGATGTCTTGGACTTCTATTGGCTACGGCATTTCTCTTCTAATGTCCATGTTATCTCGGTAGTCTTCCCAATACACATCGCTCGATTGAGCGCAACAGCTGCTCTGCCGCGACCATGTCAGATCCACCACCGCCATATGAAGACATAGCGACTGAACAGAACAACAACGGGAGCTCCAAGCGAGGACAGTATGTTCATGGGACAGTAATGCCCGCAGCCCGGCTGATGCCACTCGACTTCAATATATACAGCGCAAGTGCGACCTCCGGCGACGTCTACTACATGGGGCCGCATCAGAAGGACCGCCAGTTCGCTCTTACTATCCACCCCAACAGTCTGGCGACTACCCCTAACCCTTCAATCATCCTACACGACGGATTGACCACAAGGAATCCGGCCATAGGTACCTCGAGAAACACCTGGGTCTCTGGCAGCGACCGACTCTTTGAGGAATTCATCATCGCCGTCTCACCTTTGGGCGGGTCTCAGCCAGCTGAAGAAAGATTGCTGACAGTGGACGAAGGCACTTATTGGCACCCTGTCATTAGGCTGCGGTATTCCCTTCCAGCCACCCAAGCCATGGCGGGTGCCCACAGTGTTGATGATATTCAACGGCAGGAGTTTGAGTGGCAGGAGAGCAGCTCGCGGGAGGTGCAGAGCCTCGGCGGCAAAGACTCTGGTTGGAGGCTTGTTAATCTCTCAAATGTGAACGAGACACTGGCAATCTGTGTGCCCAACGGCCATAGTTTGACCAAATTCCTGCGCTTCTCTTTCAGAGGCAAGGGAAGAACGGGGAGTCACTACAGTCCCACGTGGGAGGTGATGGCTATTCTTACTGGCCTTACCACCTGGGAGCGGATGAACCAAATACTTCGGCGCATGGATTAATTCCTATGAATATTTTCGCTCTTATTGGAATCCGTGATGACCAGTTCCCTTGCCGGCAAATCCGAATTCGAGACCAAGTCATCATAGGGTAAAATTAATTACGGAGTAGGAGCAATGACTTCTGCCAGTTGGCTTAGACGACGATCTGGTTGATTTTCACAAGTTGTTTTCAACGAAAGCACGGTATGATGGCCCTATATAGCCGTATATCCGACAGAAACAAACAATGAATGTATACTTTCCCCTTGGGGAGTCGAATACCGACACTGGGCCTTCATTAAAAGGACGAGTCAGACCAAAACTCAACACAATAAATAAAAGGAATCGCAAGGCCCTTAATCATAGTATATTTGAGTCTTATAACTGATGCTCACTTTTTATAAGTAGTCGTTACATTAAGCCAAGCGCTTGGCGTCTTTGATATGGACCCTGAGGCATTGGCCAAGACCTTGGCGATGTCACTCCACGATTTAAAAGCCACCAAACCCACTGCCAGGGACAGGAACCATCGATAGGGCTGTGACATCTCGAGGTTTCATCCGACAGGCCCACCCAGGAACTGAATGATGGGGAGGGGTGCGCCATGCTGCTGGGTTCGAATCAATCTTGGCACGACGAAATAACTTAGATTGTTGTGTTGATCATTCCAAGTACTTTCTGGCGGAACGAATTTATTATGTCAATATCCCTAGCTCATATTTCTTACATCTTTAACGTGAGACTGATGGCAGAATTTTGTTTGAACTACCATCGGACATGGCACATAAAGTTGTTGATCACCAAGCCCCGAATATGTCAGTATACATGTAACCCGATCCCACGAGTCCGACAATAGCGAACCCGTCTCACTCGCTACAACAGTGGCTTTCCCTGTATGTTTGTTTAGATAGTTAGAGATGGAAGACTGTGGACCGATGTTCCATCATCGTGCTTCGTATTTGATTAAAACTTCCCAGATAGCTTTGTAGACTTCAAGTTGTCAATGAATGGCAAATTACCCCATATGTAGTGTGTGTACAGAAGCATCAGTACCAACATCACATTGACATGACGGCTCCATCTTGATAAATGCAAGCTCACGATCACTGAGCTATGTATCAGACTTACAATTGCACAAGGCGAGATAAGCAATGCGCTCGTGGACTAGAGAGTCTTTCCCATCGCCACATATCTAAGTTGAGCCGGATAGAAAGGACTACAAATGAACGTCTTCAGAAGTCCAATTATGATTTACTCTTGCGGACTGCTCATTTTGATGATCTAATATTTGACCCCTCATGTCTTGTAGCGCTTAGATCTCCTCACATGTTGCCTTATCAGCTGAGGTCTAGTTCTAGAGTGGAATTGTCGTTGACTAATAACATGTAATCATTCAAAGAGAAGAGATCTTGGATTGGAGACAGAGGCAACCTGCATTCGCATTTACGGCAGCATCCCTGACTGTTTAACTCCTATGAAGAGTATATATGTCGATTATCTATAAGCTAATTTGTAATGTTACACACGCAAAGCCTCCAGGTGGCTACGGATATACTCGTAGCTACCAGACCTAGCGTCATCAGTGATGAGCTGCGTAGATTCAGCCCCAAACTCCAACAACTGCTTGTTCTCCTTCCATTGCGGCCAGGTGGTCAAGTACCCGGTCGGATCCTCATAATCGTTAGGGTCCAAAGAACCCACAAAGGAGATGTAAAGGGCCTTGAGAGCCGTGCTAACATCGTCAGTCTTGTAGAACAGGCGAGGCATGTCGGTGCTGTGGTAGGTCCCTAGGATCGGGGTACCGCTTGCATATGTGGACTGGTACGACCACGCGGGCACAGTGTCAGGGAGTGTCTCGAGGAGAATGCGGGACATGAAGGTGAATTCATAGTCGCCAAGAATAGCGGCCAGGCGCTTGAACTCTGGATACGCAGTGATGGTGGTCCCAATACCGCCAGGACTGTCGGGGTTGCTGGGGTAGGTGGCGACAAGAGCTGCGACCTCCTCGGTTGTGGCGTTCTGGAAGAAGACCTCCTTGAGGTAAGAGACCAAGGATTCTTCGGTTTTGAGGTCCTGGAAGAGAGAGAATACGGTCCCCTATAGTTTGTGTTAGCCAGCCTATCCTAATGGGATACACAATGTCATGAAGGCTTCCTTACCTCGTTTTCCTGGTTGCCGATGATCAATGGGACTGCGGCGTACTTCCCACTCTGAGCGAGGACTTCTGGACTGGCAGTAAGAACCTTGCCATCGGGTCGAGGAGCGAAGTTGAAAGCCAGGGAACTGTAGGTCAAGTATGTGGGAACACTGTTCGATGCGTCCAAGAACGTCTCGTAGTCAACCCCACGGAGACACTCGAGCTTGGCTGAGTCGGCACCGCATCCAGCAGCTTCGGCCACCGTGTTGAAAACGTCCTGGGCCTTGACTCCATCAATATGCTGGGTGGGAGTCAGACTGCCGCTGTTCATGATTGCAGCCCGGAACAAGGGTCGGCCGTTGTAGGTGTTGTCACCATCATAAAGTGCAAGCTGATCAAAGACACTCATGGCACCGGCGCTCTCGCCCCAGATGGTGACAGCATCAGGGTCACCGCCAAAGGCAGCAATGTTGTCTGCCACCCACTCCAGGCCCATGCGCTGGTCGAGGAGACCCAGGTTGGAGGCCCCATCTGCCAGAACCTCGCGTCCTCCAAGGAATCCAAAGGCTCCGACACGATAGTTGACGGTCACGAGGATCATCGGCTTGCCCTGAGCCACGGACTGGGGAATGAGCACCGCTCCGTCGTAGGCCTGTGAGCTGCCCATCTCGAAGCCTCCACCGTAGATCCAGAACAGGACCGGCAGCTTCTCATCTGCGGATGTGCCCTCCGGCCGCATGACCGAGATGGCCAGGCAGTCCTCAGTCTCGCCACCCAGCGATGTACCAAAGAACAGAGTCTCCGCGGCGTCAGGCAATACCAGCACCTCGAGCAGGAGAGGCGTGATGTCATAGCCAGTCATCTGAGGGCACGCAGGGCCAACACCAGTGGCCTGGATCGAGCCGAAGCTTTCAAGGCGCACTGGGGGCTTCAGTCGCAGAGATCCAGTCGGGGGCTTGGCATAGGGAATGCCACGGTAGTACTCGACGCCACCATCCACGGCACCTATCACCGTACCGGCAGAGAGGGTGACAGTGGGTGTGCCCACGGCGCTGGAGCTTGGTGTCGGTGTGCTCACGGCACTCAAGCTTGGTGTAGCAACGGTGCTGGAGCCTGGTGTGATCGCCGCACTCGAGCTGAAGGAGCGAGTGCAGGCAGCTCCAACGGAGCCGATCAGCGTGGCCGTGACAGTGAGTATGGTGCCTCTCATCATTATTATAAAGATTAAGGGATATTAAGGATAGGATGGCTGGCAGTGGGCCAGTTGCGACTGATCGCACATATACAAAGAGACTGTCCAATTCAACAGCTTACAGCAAGCATCTATCGAGCATATACGCAGCTGATGCAACAGCCAGATCGCGCATGCACGAATAGGGTGTCCAATTCAACAGCTAATGAACAGCCCAATTGCAACTGGACGGCGCATACATGGGTACTGACTCTATGGAGCCGAAGTTTCCTCGTCGTCCCTCGTAGGATGCCCGACCCCTTTTTACGCATGCTGACAGCCGGGGACCTGAATAATTTGCCACCCTCCGCTGCAAAGCCAGGCACAGGCCAAGAGATTGTTAATAAGACTCCCCTCCACTTTATTATTCTACTGTTGGTCGTTGCGAACTACCGGCATTGACTGCAAAAGGGTAGCAACATCCGCCAGCGTTTCTCTTCGCGGGTGCTTTCCCCCCGCGATTCTCATATCTCACCCATCTTTTGTCTGTTTGTTTTCTTGCTTGGCACAAGACCGTCCATCATGGCTGGCCCACAAGAACATCCGACCGTTTCTCGCCAGCCACTCAATGCTTTGTTCCATCTGCTCTATGCCGGCACCATCGTAGCCCGCCTCCCGTTTTGGCTGGCTATTGCGCTACTTGCCCGTCAAAATCCAAAATGGTCCTTGAAACAGGCTCTTTCCCGCCCTATCGCCAAGGCCATCATAGACTTGGAAGCTCGCATCGGCATCACGGAAAAGATCTCACTCGAGCCGGGTAGCGAAGGCGACCGCTTTCAGGTTCTCCAGCCGCTTTCATCAGATCTCTACAAAGGTCCCCTATCATCGTCCAACGTCAGCCCTGAGGCAGTGGGTGCCACTTGGTTCCCGCAAGCCCCGGGCAAAGACATCAACTCAAAGACAGTTTGCCTTTATATTCATGGGGGCGCGTTTGTTATGCACAATGGCAGAAACAGGGAGTGCAGTCTCGCGTGCAAGGCATTGATAGCAACCGGTGATACTGGTATCGATGCTGTGCTCTCGCTGCAGTATCGACTATCTGGTTATGCCGGCCGGTCCCCCTTTCCTGCCGCATTTCAAGACTGCCTGACAGCATACCTTTATCTCATCAATACACTTGGTATTCCCGCTCACCAGGTTGTGCTATGTGGTGATAGTGCTGGCGGCAATCTTATTATTGCTCTACTACGGTATATCCAAGAGTTTAGCGATCTGGGTATTCCAACTCCGAAATGTGCCGCTCTCTTCTCACCTTGGGTCTCACCGTTAGATTATGATATGAGCAAAAACCCTCGAGATAATACTGATTATGTTCCTTCCTCATTCTTAGAATGGGGAGTTGTGACATACACGGCTGGCCTATCAGATGTGTCATCTAATCCATACATTGTACCTGCTGGCCACGCGTTCGCCACGCCAGTGCCATTTTTCGTCAACGTCGGCACGTCTGAGATATTCCTCGATGATGTCCAGAAATGGGTCGATGAGATGCAGGCTGTTGCAGGTAATCATATTGAGTTGTATCTAGAGGACTCAGGCGTACACGACACCTTTTTGGCCGGCACCTTGATTGGCTTCGAGAAAAGTGCACAAGATGCCATCAATCAGATGGGGTCTTTTCTCCGCAAATTTTGATAGTCTATACTAGCCATGCCCCTTAAGCTCATATCCTATACTATCTCTAATACCTCTCTTTAAATTCATTTATATATATCTAGCTAAACTAACCATCTTCAATCAGAATAAATAATAATTATAAATCTGGCGACTTCTATCTAGTAGTATATATAAATGTTGTTATCCCTATTATATTCCCGTGGCCCAGATAGCTAGCTAAAATTGTATCATCATATGTCCGTATTATCCTCAGTCCTCAGCAGGCGTCAAACGCCAGAGAGGTGCTTCCTGTCCTAGTGACTGTGATGTTAGGTGCTTCTAATTGCCGTAGTCTACCCCTAATCGGGTACGGGTTTTGTCGAAGAACCTAAATATTACACGCCCATGTTCTAGTAGGGTATGCTGGATTCTATAAAACAAGTAATAGATAGGATGATTACATTATTATATCTAGGATATAGCTAGATTTTCAGCTTCTTCAGAGATTCCCCTTCCTCGGCAGAAGCATGTAAGTGTTGCTATATATACACGTGGGTAGGATACTGTGAATCTAGTGCTTATAAATAATTATTGGACCAATCCTATCATTATTCTTATGATTCCAAGTCCTCACTTCATGTGCGAAAGAGGCTTAGGCAGTAAGCTTGTCAGTGATCCAAAGATAACGGGCAGCCCAGGCCCGTTGAGAAACACGAGCAGTAGGTACCATAACGTCGGAGCCATGGAACGCCCCGGCACTAATGTGGGACTCGACCAAGTTACCAGCCTCCCACAAGGCCTGAGTAAACTTGGCAACGGGTTGTCTGAACAGCTCGGCACTCCCGGCGTCGATGAAAACGGGAGGAAGGTTGGCAAGGTTCGTGGCCCGTGCTGGCACGTAGTATGGGTTCTTGGCCTTGTTGCCGGGCTTCTCGCCAAGGTAGGCCTTCCACGCCATTGCATCTGTCTCAGCAGACCAGGCTGGCGCAGCAGCACCACTGAAAATGGCTTGCTCCGACGAAGGAATGCTATTGTCAAGCATGGGGTAGTGCAGCAAGAGTCCCTTGAGTGTGAGCTTGTCGGTTGGCTTGCGATCACGCACCATCATGCCAACAGCGGCAGCCAGACCGCCACCAGCACTTGATCCCCAAACCAATGCATTACTAGGGTCTATGCCCAGGGACTGCGCATTATTCGCGGCCCAGACAAGTCCAGCGTAGACATCCTCGATAGCAGCCGGGGCAGGATGCTCTGGGGCAAGACGGTACTCGGCCGATACAATGACCAAGCCGAGACTGTACGCGAGCTCAAAGCCAGCGGCAATCAGGTAGAAGCGGTTCCCAAGAATGAGACCACCCCCGTGGATATAGTAGACCCATGGACGGGAAGAACCTTGCGGGATGTTGTCGGGAGTGATGACGGAAACCGTCATGTTATATCCCTGGTAGCCGGGGACAGCATGCTCAACGTGGGTGAACGGTTGGCCGCTCAGCACTGTTTCTGCGTTGTACTCGGCAGTCTCTTGTTCTCTGATAGCTGGGATCATATCGGGGGTCAAAATGGCTGGCAGGGGATACTCGGCCAGAGCTGGGGCAACTTCGTCATCGTACACCGGCGCAGTCGCTGCTCGTGGAGAGACAGCAGGGGAGGAAGAGACGGTGGCAGCCAGAAGGCTTAGTGCCGCGATAGCTTTTGTAGAGAACAACATCTTAAAGGGAGCCCCTCAACGTCAAAGAGTGTGCAAAGGGTTGAAAGATAATAAGCGTGGAACTGAGAGAGAATTGTGTCGTGCAGGTTGTTCTAGAACTTATATGGGTAGGAATATGTGCCGACAACCCGTTAAGCGATCTGGACGCCAACCACGTGTGATACGGCCCCCTACATCCATGACCCCATGTTATATCGCATATTTCCGTTCCCTGTTTGGTAATATGTAATCAAATCGTTCACAATGGAAAAGCCAGCGTTTTGCAAATCTGACCTGCATAGCATTTGCTTGAGGATTAATCTATCGGACCACCACGTCCGGCTAGTCAACCACCTCTCCAGGCGCTATGTCCACGCTTCCAGGGGGCTTCAGGCAAAACCACATAATTATCGATATCACATCCTATCGGGCTGTACTTACCTAGAAAATAAGATGGAGTTAACTATAATGCCTGTCTCTATAAGTAAGAGTTTTTATGGGTTTTAATTCCTTCTTTCCCGCTATGTAACCCTTCTAAAAGTGACTCTCAGTTCGAGCAGAAGTGGCTGACTAGCACAAGGGTGAGCGGTGGTTCGATATCAAAATCCTTGCTTGCTTTTTCTTTGACAAGGGGAGTTGGATCGAGGGGCGGGGGAAGAGAGAGGGGGAGGGGAGGTGCGTGGTTAACACGTCCAGTCCGCCTATCGCTGAGGTCAGACCACATCATTCAAAGGATCTTGTCTGGGGTCCATGAATCACTAGCAGAGCGCGGAGGGCGTGTACAAATGGAGTCAACTGATTAGGGAACTCACCGAAATGGCAATTCCCTGCGACATGCCGACATGAACTGCGGGGCACCACAATGGGGTTGCACTATGTGACGTTGGCTTACCATCGTTCCATGTGGGAGCAGGATTCCTTCATGCAGCCATCACAGTATTTCCAAAACCTGCCATTCCGATAACATATTGTACACTGTTATGTGCATGGTATCATCAGTTGGTTCGGCATCTTCCCAGAGGAGGGTTCTGTGCTGAATAGAGGTCTCTCCGTAGCATCACCCTGTAGAGTATAAACAAGCTTACCTACGGAGCCCCTGTCATCACTCACTCACCCCAACATACCTAGCTGATACCGTGAACTACAGGCATCACTAGCGCACAGATGTATAGAATACTTCGGTGGTTTCGGGTCCCATTATAAGACATTAGCTTACTACCACTATATGTACATCGTAGGGGAGGATTCCTTTATGCAGTCATCACATCATGTCCCAGACCTGCAGTAGGTACCAATCAGAAGATATCATAGACCCTTGTGTGCGTGCCATCACTAACTAGTTCGTCATTTCACCAGAGCTTTTTTTGTCCCGCCCAGAGGGGGGGATTCTGCTCTCTCCCGTGCTTAGCATTACCCTGCAGAGTATAAACAAGCCTGACTGCCGAGCCCATGTCATCTTTCGCCTCAACTGAGCTGCCACCACGTTCTCGTCTGTCCCTCCCCCACACCCCCCAAAATGAATGATGAGGATCTCATCACCGTGATCGGGGCCATTGGTGCCGTCTTGTCAATCATCATTGCCGCCATCCGCTTCTATGGTAGGCACTTGATGAAGAGCGGGGTGGGTTTGGATGATTGGTTTCTTCTTCTATCAGTCGTCACGTTGATAATAGCCGACGTCATCGTCGTTGTTGGTCAGTCGTCTGTACCTGCAATATACGGAGGACTTTATTGATTAACAAAAGAATTAGCCAACGTTACCTACCCCGAGAGCGCGAAGAATGCCCTACACAAAGGCAAAGAGGATTACACATACGGCCAAGATGATATCGACTACACCAGATTGAGCTTCTTTTCGGCCATTCTTTACTTCACAACCGTCTCCACAACGAAGCTGTCCATCCTCATCATGTACAAGCGCATCTTCTCGATCGATCGATCCTTTCGCTTCCAGATTTTGGCCCTGATCGTCATTACTGGCGGATTCTGGATCAGCATGACGGTCAGCAATCTATTGAACTGTATCCCAATCGAATTCTCCTGGATCCCATCCGACGACGAATCGAAGTACTGCTTCAACTACAATGTGTACTGGCTGGCGTGCGGAATCGTCGAGTGTATACTTGATCTGGTGATCCTCCTGATGCCAGTAAGAGTGGTTTATGGCTTAAAGCTTAGCCAGGGGAGAAGGATCGCCGTTGCTGGCGTGTTCCTTCTGGGTGTTTTGTAAGTCGGCCTATTGCTGCGTCGCCAGTGAAGGTTATAATATGAAATGCTGGAAAAACTAACCAAGGAACTAGTGTTATTATATCCGGCATAGTCAAAGTCGCACGAAGCTATATCCCTGGAAGCCGACAGCTGGACCTCACACAAACCTCGCTGTGGTCGACAGTGCACATCTGCACGGGCATCATCTGCGCGTGTCTCCCGGTTTGCTGGCCTGTGTTCCTCCGGCTTGTGAAGAGAGGGCCCCTTTCCAAGGCATCTACGGTGCCGTCGAATCAGTCACCGTGGTCCGGCGGGTCTGGTCGTCGCTACCCCCAAGGCCATAGCTCTCGGAGCGGGAACAAGTCTCATGACCAATCAACCGAAATTTACAGCCCGCAATTCGGTGGCAGCTCTGATGTTCATGAGCTGCTGGTTCGTGATCCAAATCAGATGGGATATGTACCACCAAGTCATTCTGAGATACGAGTCAATTACGATGGACACGGGGGCTTAGTTCATGATCAGAATCAGATGGGATATGTACAACCAAGCCATCATGAAATACGAGGCAATTACGATGGACATGGGGTTTTAGGTCGATGATAAGAATAGATATTGCCCCTATAGACGAAACCTTGATTAACAAAGAAATCTTACCTATGAACTCTGAAACCTTTGATTTGAACACAAACAGAGACAATTGGTATGGGAGCAGCCAAGCCGACCTTGAGTATATCCATGTTGGCTGTTTCAGAAATGAGAAACTGAAATGTAAATCCCTAAGGCAAAGAGGAGGGAAGAGGTCCACCTATCCACCTCCACTAGATACAGAACACCGAAATTGGTTATTAACTTATTTCTGTAGGTAGACTGCTTCCTCCTTCTTTACCCTACCCTGTAGACTGCTCTGGATTAGCAGTTATGCAATATCTTTAGTTCTTCGATAATGACTGTTACATGAAGTTTGTTCCTCTGTCTGCTTCGTATTATGGACAAGATCACACGGACACAGCAACCTAAGAAACCTTATATCACTCCGTCCTGACAATGCGCAAGTTGACGTCTGGAAGACTAACTCTATTGGATAGAATCAAAACTAGATCTAAGGACTATAAGGAAAAGGTAAACTACATCTTAACCTGGCAGATTCTCAAGGATTCTTCTCATAGCATAGAATTGTATAACTGGCCGTCTCATGACTATATGCCCGCTTCATGGACCGCATTCCCCGCAAATACCCAATGGAGTCCCTCCCCTGAGATATGGCATATAGTAGCGACCCTATTGGCAAGGAAGTATCCCTAAAGGGAGAGTTGTATGATTAGAGTCGATCTCAGTTTAGTGGGATCGCTTGAAGAAGGCAACTTACCACGTTTTGGCCACGCTTTTGGTAATGTCGATCGGTTCATGACGCGGCGAGAGGCCCGCGTCCCTGGCCATTTGAGTGTACTCGTTCACGGTGCCAAGCAGTGGGCACATGTGGTTGCGCGATATGGAGTCGAGCTCCTTCTGCGCACTCGCCGACGGCTTCTCCGCCGTCCTGAACATGTCGGCGACGACGATGCAGCCGCCGGGCTCGAGGAGCGCCGAGGCCGAGTCGAAGAAGAGCTTCCTCCCATGCAGGTGGAAGACGACCTCGGACACCCAGACACAGTCGAACTTCTCATCCCGCTCGGCCCCCAAATACTCGCGCATCTGCTCGAAGTCGAGATGGAGGATCCGCACGGCACCGGCATCGCTCCCCTCGGCGCTGGCTGGGGAGGGGTACTGCACAAAGTCCGTGCTCGGCGGCGACGACGACGACGGGGACCCCAGCTTGGCCACCTCAGCTGCCATCAGGCCCCGTGCGATCTCCACCTGGCGCTGGCTGTTGGTGATGCCCGTCACCTTGCAGCCCAGCTCGCGGGCGAGATACCTGGCGGTCCCGCCAATGCCGCACCCGACGTCCAGGATTCTGGAGCCGGCGGAAACTCCCGACGACTCGACCAGACGCAGGACTTGGTTGATCTGTGCCTGTGCGTCGGTGTCTGTTGGCGACTTGTAGTAGCCCTGGTGGATGTGTTCTCCCCTGGTTGGCAGCATCAGCTCGCAAATTGGACACAGGTAGTAATAAGCAGGAATGGGGAGCACCCTACCATACTTTGAGAAACAGGTCTGAAGTCACGTTGTAGTGCTTTTGGATCCTCTTCTTGAGACGGGTTGTCTCGACCTTTGCCTTGTCGGCGCCGGGGTCGGCGACCTGCTGCTCCTTTGCTTCTGACATTGTGTAGACCTGACAGAATGCGTGGTGAGCACTGGGCAAGTAGGCGTCGGCGAATTGAAAAGACCGGTGGTATTTACTTGTTATGTAGGGCCCGTAAACGCTGCCAGTTGTCTCTACGAAATTGCGTACACGAGCCGTCGACCATGTACTTGGTCCGGCCTGAATCAAGGAACCGCCGATCGCATGATGCCAAGGATTAGGGCGTGAGAAAACGGTCTGTTCAGGTCTTAAGGGTTGTAAACGTTATATCTATAGCTAATAATTAGCTAAATATATGATGTGTATAGGCTTAGGTAAGAGAGAATTATAAGGTAGAAAAGCTATATTCTTATAGAATTAAAAATATTTTTATTTAGATATAATATATAGCTATTATATATTATAAATAAAGGCCTCTATTAGGCTATAGGAAGTTATATATAAAGTAGACTAGTAAGCTCTACTTTAGGGATTAATAAAATTAATCTATTACTTTAGTAGAATAATAGCTTAATAATAAGATAGTAATAACCTTACTATATATATATATTTATTTCTTAAATAAAAATACTCTCTTAAATAGTTATTAATATAATTACTACTACCTTTATTAAAACTAGCTTCTTAATACTTATATATTAATAGTAACTTATATAGTACTAAGATAACTTAATTACCCTCTTAAAATAATACTTTAATTAGTTATATCTTTAACTTATCTTAAACCCCTATTTAGTATAAATCTACTAATTATTATATATTAATAACTCTTATTTAGATAATTACTTTATCTTAATTACTATATAATAAATAAAAGATATTATAGCTATTATAGTTCCTCTTACTTATTAAAATAATATATTTATTATTATTATTAATTAAGCTACTATTATAGATATTATAGATAAAGATAGTAATAATAATAATAATAATAAAGAGGATAATAATATTAATCTAAAAGTTTAGCTTCTTTATAAATAGATTATTTAACTTTAAGCTTACTTTATTAAACTTTAAGGAAACCTAATTATTATAATAAATCTAATAAAATAGTAAGTTATTATAAATATTAATCTCTAAATCTAAGTTATTACTATTACTTAAGGAAGAGAGCTAGGATAATTACTTAAGCTATTAGTACTTAAGCTATTTAATAGAACTTAAGCTAAACTATAAGGGTTTATTATTTAGCTTAAGGTATACTTTAATTATTTCCTTATTATACTTAATAATAATATAAAAAAAGTTACTTATATATACTTATACTTTATAGGAATTATATTTAATTAATTTAAACTTACTATAAGGGAATACTTTAATAGAAGTAGTACTTAATAAACTATAGATATTATAATAAGCTTTAAATACTTTATAGAAACTCTTTAATAAACCTTTAGAATTTAGGATAAAAAGTAAAAGTTAAAATATAATATTAATTAACTTACTTAGATTAAATTAACTTTAACCTTTAGTACTTAATACCTATAGTTATTAATAAAGATTAAATAAAACTAGGAGTATACTATATTTTATTATTTTAATAGACTTAAGAAAGAAGTTTAGGAAGAGCTTTATAAAGAAAATAAACTAGTAAGTATCTATAAATATATAACTATAGCTATAAGAATTAATAATTAATAATATTAATAATAAACTTATAAATAATAATTAATAGTTTATATTAATATTAGAAGACCTTAATAAAGATATAAACTAAGAACTATAATCTCTAGGATATATATTAATCCTATAGAGCTAAAAGCTATAGAAAAATATAAGTATTTTAATTATAATAAAGTTAAATATATTACTATCTACTATAAGAAACCTAAGAAAGATAAAAAGAACTAGAAGCTTATACTTAAGGGGAAGAAATAACTTAAGGTAATTAGAAAAGATAATATTAAAATCTTAGGAATAATTTAAAAGAAAGAATACTTAGAAGATATAATCTAAATCCTTAAGTTCTCTATATAACTTATATTAATCTTTTATAAAATAGTAAATAAAAAAGATAAGTAGAAAGTTAATATTATATAAGAATAATAAAAATAAATTAAAGAAATATTTAAGGAGCTATAAAGTAAACTTAAGAAAGGAGAAGTCTTAAGCTATAAACTACTTATAACCTATAAATATATATTTCTCTATAAAAATAAGTTTATATTATTAAACCTAGAAGAAAAAACCTTATACTTAGAGATAAGAAATATAATTTAAGAAGAATATAAAGAAGTTTATATCTACTATTAATAAAAGATAAGAGAATAAAACCTTAATATATTAAATACCTTAGTACTTTATAGTAAAATAATTAAATAAGTAATAAAATACTAAAAATAAATTTATAATATATTTACTTATTTAAAGATAAAATATAATAAAGATTATAATAAAGAATTATAAATATTATACTATAATATTAATTATAGAATATACTAAAAGAAGAAGATAAAGAATAACTTCTTTCTATAAGTAGATAGAATTATACTTACTATATATATTAAAGAATAAGTATAATACTTTTCCTATTTATAATATAGAATAAACTAGTATACTATCTTTAAAGAAAACTTAAAAGAATATCTTATTAAGTATAATATTAAGGAGATATTAATTAACTTATATTATAAACCTTAATATAGAATCTATAAGAAATCTAAGATTAAGTAATAGTATAAAGAAAAAGAATATAAGGACTATATAGTATATATATATAATAGTAGAATTAAGTAATATTAAGATTAAAAGTATAGAAACTACTTAAATAGTAAGTAGATTATACTTAATTTAGTAAAAGATAAAGATAATAATCTTAATATAGCTAAATTATATCTTTAATAATATTAAGTATAGAAAGAAGAGCTATAATAATACTATAAATAAGGTATATTATCTTTAATAAATAATAGAGATAATAATAAAATAAAGGAATAAGGTATTACCTTTATAGATAAATAGAAATAAAATAAGAATTATCTTAATATAGAAGTAATAACTCTTAATAAATAAGTTAATTAGATAAAAAATAATAATAACTATTTATAAAAGAGCTATAATATAATATAATAATAATTAGTTAGAGGACCTTAAGAGTTATTAAGATAGGAAGCTTATATAATATTATTATTAATATTAAGATTAAGGGGAACTAGCTTATAGTAATAGTAAATTATAGAGTATAGGAAAATTATATCTTACTAATAGTAATTAATTAATATCTACTATTATAAAAAGGGAAGAAGAAACTTTATAATATTATTAATATTAAAGGAATAAAGTTTAAGTATAATAATAGGATTATTAACTATAAGACTAATTATCTTATAACTAAAATTAATAGAAAAAACTTTAATATTTCCTATAATATTATATAAATTAATACCTATAATACTATATTAAGTATTCTATAGTTAAGAGATATAAACTTATTAATTAATTAATATATTAGCTATATAAAGTAAAGGGATACTCTTATATATTAACTTTAAGATTAAGGGAAATTAAAATTTTATTAAGTATTAAAAAAGTATAGTAACTCTTTAATAATTAAAGGTATTACTATAAAAATAGAAAATAATAACTTAATATAATAAGTAGATATAGTAATTATAGCTTTAATAATACTATAACTTAATATAATAAAGAAAATATCTTATTAAGAATTATAATATATAATAAGAATATTAACTTAAATATAGAAATAAAATATAGAACTTATATTTAAATTTAAAAGTTAGTATTATAAAGATAAAGAGAAGTAATAATAAAAAGAAGTAATCCTTATAAATATTAATAAGAAATATAATAGAATAGACTTTATAGATTAAATATAAATAATTAACCCTTAGAGAAAGGAGTATAATATTAAGAATTACTTATAGGATAAGGAAACTTATAATAAATAAGTAATAAAAGTAATATTAAGGGATAAATAAATAAACTATATCCTTTAAGAGTATTATATTTATAAGAAATTATTTAAAGAGACTTTTAATATTAAGCTACTAAAGTATAGCTAGTAAGACTATAAGATCTTTATTATTAAAGAAGAAGAACTAGCTTTTTATAAGCTATATAATCTTATAGAACCTTAGCTATAGATACTTTATAAATATATTAATAATATATTAATAAAAGGCTATATATAATTATTAACTTTATCTATAGGATACTTTATAATATTTATATTAAAGAAAAATAGAAAATTATAATTTATTATAAACTACTAATAGCTTAATAAGATTATATATAAGGATAAAATACCTTTATTATTAATTATAGAACTTAGAGATTAATTATAAAGTAAATAATAGTTTATTATACTAGATCTTAAAGGAGCTTATAACTTAATATAAATTAAAGAAGGAGATAAATAGAAAATAGCTTTTAAGATAAAGTTTAACCTATATAAGTATTTTATAATACCCTTTAGATTAATAAATATACTTATAATATTTTAATAAATAATTAATTAAGTACTCTAGGAGTATCTTAATATCTTTATAATTATCTACCTTAATAATATTTTAATATTTTTTAATAACCTAAAGACTTATAAGGAATATATATATAAGGTCTTAAGAAAATTAAAAAAGGTAAAACTTTTAGTAGAATTAGAGAAAAGTTATTTCTATATATAAGAAGTTAACTTTTTAGGATATACTATTTAACTAAATAAAATCTAAATAGAGAAAGGTAAAATCACTATAATTAAAAATTAAAAAGTATTAAGTACTATTAAAGAAGTATAAGCCTTCTTTAGATTTATTAATTATTATTAATAATTTATTAAAGACTATAGAAAGATTATTATACCTTTATATAATATTATAAAGAAAGGAATAGAATTTTAATAAAGTATAAAATAATAAAAGGTATTTAATAAAATAAAGAATTAAATTCTTTTAAAACCTATATTATAAATATTTAACCCTATAAAGGAAGTAGAATTTAAGATTAATATATTAAACTTTATAATTAATATATAACTTAATTAGAAAGATAATAATAAAGTATTA